CATGCATGTACACACCTAGTATTATACTTGTACGACCGATCTTGAAATGCCAATCTTGTGCATCTTACTATTTACATAAACACCGACCGAAGAAAGAACGTGATGGGGCGACTGTGAAAAATACAAATTGCCGAAATACAGACCTTACAAGCTTACCGGAGATACGGCCTGCATACAGGGCTAGGGATTACAGCTAAATGCCTGCCCATGCGTGAAGGTCTGGTACGCGTGCTGGGTTTACGTCTGTGTGAATCGCGCTCACAAACACGCCCCTGGCTCCGACTAAGTGGATTCTGATAGATATCGCCGGGCGCTGACTTTTAGGCACGTATTACGCTCGTGTACAGGTATTCTGCTTGAATCAGTCACTTCCCCTTGCAACCTTTTAATTTTACCTGACGCATCTACGTATTTCTGTCGATCCATTAGGTTATTTTTAAAAAGTCTGATGCTTTTTTTGGTACTGATATCGCAACTTCTACCGGTATCTTCCCTTTTAGTTTTTTCTTTGTCAAACTCTTTGGGGAGAACAGACAATCTAAAGCCGCTTCGGCAATGACGAAGCAACATCCGACCACAAACATTAAACGAATAATACAAAAACTCAAAAACAGCCGATCGGAAACTGGGTCTGCAAATGGAGAAGCGATTGGACTGCAGGAAACGAGGGGAGAAGTTGAAGCGATTATGGCGGGGAGTGTGCGCCGGGTCGTCCCGGCGGATTCCGCTCAGATCGCGTGGCGGATTAGCAAACTCCGAGATCAATAACAAACCGCTCCCCGCCTTTTCCTCTCTACCCCCGAACTCTCTTGAGCTCCCCGGATTTGCAATTTTAATCTTCCTAATGGCCTCGCTAATCCCCCAGTGGGTTACGGGTTAATCTGTTAATGGATGGGGGGGGGGGGGGGGGGGGAGCGGCAGGGCAGAGTGGGGGTTGTGAGGGGGAAGAGAGCCTTCTGTTTGCAGGATATTACGCACGACTGGTGGGATTATCTCGTCCAGCGGAACCGTCTGCTGACGCCAGCAGGGCCTCAGACTCGCTGGAGTCGAGATCTTAAGTGGCTAAACCTTGGCAAAATAGCCAGATTAGGCTCTTAAGTCGAGGGGGGAGGGACCCATGTGAATCATAAGTTTGTTGCCTCGATCAGAGATTGCTATTCCTGTTCAACTCTATTTCTGTTTTTGAATTTTTCTTTTTTTGGCAATCAGATGAACATTGCAATATGAAACAGAGTCTGACAGAAAAGTGTGCGCCCAACAGATCAAAACAGTTGAACAAAAGGTTTTTGTTCACTATACTCAGATCAATAGATTCCTATAAAATCGGCCCTGATAGGACTGACATAAAACTTCCCATATGGTTCACAATACTGCTCCATATATTAAACCATGTTCTCCTAAGTAAGATGTATACAGTGCATGTTTCAACAAACTGATTGAACATGAACACTGAGGATCTGATTCTGTCTAGTTCTATTTAGATATGGAGGTAGGAAACATTGCGCCTGTTGCAGAAAACGTAGCAGTACATACTACGGTACGTCCGAGCAAACTAGAGCACATGTTGTCAGGTACGTGTCCCGGTATGTGTGATGTACTATGGTACATGCACATATTATACACTACATGCACACAAACCCAAGTTTCTGTTGATTATTAAAGGGAAAATACAACATTTTGCAAACATCGAAAAATAAAACTACCAAGTTTTTACGAAATACCTTACTAGGATGTTGGTAAATGACAGTCTAAAGCATCCTGTAAAATTATGCCACCTGGTGTGAAGTCATTTTCAAGAAAATGATATTTTTGTATACATTTCCAACGGTGGTCGGCCGACCACCGTTGGAAAAAACCTGACTATTTGTCAACTACTGCTCCAAATTTACCATTTTTTTCCAGTCCAAATTTTGTTTGCTATTGGTTGCATGTTCATGAATGGATGCAGGCCAGCTACATTGGTTCCCTTACCATACAATTTTCCGGCATCTATAAATTGATCCATTTTATCTTCAGTGGAGTCAGGGAACCAGACTACTTGAACACTTTTTGTTTTTCTTGGTTTTCCAGCATTTTCGAACACAAAACTTCAAATATGTCAGTGTAACAATAATTTGATCTATTATACTAACCCCTCAAATAGTTCATTTCTGAAAATTAAAGCAAAAGCCAATGATGTACATTCCCTTTAAAATGCATACATGTCTTCCAAAGTTATTTTACATCAGTGCATGTACATGTACATGTTGTAAATATTATGTAAACTTTGTGTTATAATGTCAATTTTCCCGTTTTGTCAATCAGTAATATCACACTGTACATACCGGTACATGTACACAACATTTTTGTAAGTGTTGGTTTAACAGTACTTAATTTTCACCAATTTTAAATCAACTTCCAATCTGATATTTCTGACCAAATGGGAATTTCAATTAGTGAAGTTTCTTAACTTTTAAGTGATTTTAATTACGGGCATGTGTATTTAAGATCCATATTTGTGAATAGGAAAATTGAAATGTGATGTACATGTACCAAAAGACAGTAAAATTCAAGCAAACAGACTACATGTTTAAAATTCAACCAAAAGGTCAACTTAATAAAGTTGTTTGAAAGTTTAAGTTTTTAATAAACAAAATCACCATTAAATTTTGCGGAAATGATATTGTTACTTGATGTCGCTAACTCACAAACTCACAGGGGATGTATTCAAGCACTTCATGGCGGAAACGCGCACACGGAACCTCTCAAGACAGACTTAAGCTTTCAGCGCACAACAAAAAAACCTTGGCGCTTTCACAATCCCCTCGTGGGATATAAAAACTGCAGTAAAAGATTAGGGGTTTAATAATGGTGTTTCTTAATCCGGGGATTAAGAGTTAAGAGGATTAATAGGGCTCTCAGCTCTGCGCATCCTTTCCATTCCACTGCTCTTTTTTTTTTTCTTCTTCTAACCCAGCGTTTTTTTATCTTTTAATCTGGCAGCGACCTTGTCCTTGCACTTTTTGCGGATTTTTTTTTTTTTTTTTTTTTACAAAGGGGACTGTTTCAGTCACAACTGCTGCCGCTTTTCAAAGGGGTTTAGTGTTGAAATTACTGTCGGCGCCAGAGTCTCATGCCGAGCACAACTGACTTCAAATTAATGGTCATCAACAACCTATTCTTATATAATAAATTGTTTCTGGACAAGTTCTTGATGCAAACATCAAATGACAGCTTATGTTTAAGGCTGCATGATGGGGATCTGCATATCTTGGCTTTGGCCGGCATTAGCACACGAGTCTATGGGTAGAGGCTTGATGGCAGCGTTCATCTATGACGCGCATGGATAATTGCATGTTATAGCCAAGTAATTAAGATGTACCTCAACCCATTCTTCTCCCCTACCCGAGCAATCGCAAATACAGCCCACACCGTCTTCCTTGACACACCAAAAAACTGACTTCAGTGGCAGATACTAAAGTTTTGAGATGGGGTGCCTGAGGTGTTGCAGTCAACAAATTTTTTTTTTAACTTGTTTTTTTCTTTTCTGTTGCCGTGTTAAGGAGGCGCCACTCTTTTTGAGATATACCGGTATATGGCAGACATATAAGGCTCTGTGCGCCAACAAAAGAGGGCGCTCTTTTACCTAGCAACAACGTCCCATGGGCGGGACACATATTTGCGGCAAAATATTGCAGTCAGGCAAGATGGCGTCGTTCGGTCACCCCCAACTGTATTTCTTTGCCGGTGACTGTATTTCTTTGTGAACGGAAGGGATAGGAGGGGGATATTTTGTTTTAGTCCGAGTTAAAATTGTTAACACAAACCAAATAACAGCCCCCTATTGTGTTCAACATCTTTAGAATACACTTTTGAGGAGGTTCCCGCACAAAACATGATTTTGTAGTCCTGAGTCAGGACGATTTCTAGTAAAACTGCATCCAAAAATGGAGTTAGAGTTCAAGTGGGTGAATCTTCTTTTTCCGCATAAACCGACGTCAAAAGTGGCATGTCAACATTCATGAGATCAGTAGAAACGCTGGTTTCATGACTCACGATGACTGTTGGCCGGTACGGAGCCGGCTTAAGAATGTTATACGTTGCTGATTGATAGGATGAGTGACTGTCAATGGGGGAAAAAAACAATCTATTTTGTATGATGGCCCCATGGTTTCAGCTCAAAGAATTTTGATGCTGGAAACGCATAAAATTGTCATCTTCTTTCTGACCTGAAAATCTGCATTATCTATCACTTCCCCACATACTTCTATGTTTAATTTTAGTTAAAAATTGAAAATCAGTCAATTTTGACATGCACATTATGCAAATTTGGAATGGCAAAGCTAGCTTATTGAATTTTAATGTATCGGTATCAAGGTTGTCAAGCTACTCTACCTTCATAAGATGGAATTTGCGTCGGGGTGAGGTAAATTATTCAATATTGGGTTTTTCCCTTCACCGATGTATTTTTATAAACGCTGTATTCAGTGTTGTCCCAAGTGATTGTGAGAACAAAAATCGCTCGGGTGGGACTCGAACCCACAACCTCCTGCTTACTATGTGCAGACTTCTTACCACTCGACCACGGAGCTTGCTGGGGTCGGCTGGCTGGTTCGAATCTGATATTTATATAGCAGTGGGAACCGCAACCGAAGCATTTAAGGTTGTCAAGGTTTTTAACCGCCTTTTTAGACTGGCATTCCAAAGTTACGCTGACTCAAATTGGAGTAACTCAAGTCAATCCAAATACCCTGTAGACATGGCAGCATTTGGCCACAGACGGTAAACCTTTTAAGTAATAATTTTCCCTTGTATGGACTGTGTCATTTCGAAACCTGGCAACAGTCGATATTTTGTGAATACATACATAGTTGCTCCTATTTGTTTCGAACATTGAACATAATTTTAATCCTCGGAATAATTTATTTGGGGGCGACTCTAGAAATCTACTCTGCAAGGGTAGTGACCCTGATACCATTCACACAAACAAAAACACAAACACAAAAAAAAAATATGCCTACCATGTTTAGAGTCGACAGGTATCTTCTCTTTCGCTGGGACCTTGGCAGGCAACGGGGCACCAACCACGTCGACTGTTTCTCGGCAGGGCTGAGGGCTGGCCTGCTTGCGTTTGCGCGACGCTGGCACCACGGCGGTCCTGCTGGCGGATGAAACCTGGCACTGGCTGGACACTGAGGGCGCCCTCTGGTCTTCTGGAGGGGGCAGGGCCACGGCGATGACATCTTGAGGGGTGTCTGACGTTGACAGGTCTTCGGAAAATGAGGCGGCGGGACCGACTGCCTCTTGCTGTCAAACAAGAAAACAGAAAGACATTTTTTTTTTTCAAAAATTTACATTGCAAGGAGGGAGGAATTATTCTACAAAATCATCAGTGGGCCATACACAAACATGACAAACTTAGGTGAGTCAAAAAAAAAATTCGTCCCGGCTTTTTTTTGAAAATGAAGGAGGCAACCCCACCCTCTTTCCCCTGGCAGATTTTCCAAGATGGCGGATAGATTCTTCCATTTTCTGGACTCTTTTGCTGAAACTTGAGTCCAAAGGAGCCCTCATCCTTTCTATATGGTTCATTGCTACAATTTTGTTGGAAACAAATTAAAAAAAAAAAATTGACATATATTGACAAAATTTGCAAAATTTATTGCAAACGTATGAATTTAAAAAAAAGATAGCGGGCAGGGATGAGAAACTGATTAATTTTTTTAACATGGCATTTTCTTATAGATGGACAAATTCATTCATTCATTCATTTTAAAAATTACTGAACTAAAAAATTAAAACCAAAAGCTGAATCGAAGATAGTTGTAAACACGTCTTCCCCTCCAAAAATATGTTTTATGATTTGGAATGAGCTTTATTGTGAAATTTAATGTAAAAACAATGGGCAGATTACTGACTCGTACGTTGTTTTTCATATTCACTTAATTTACATTTAATAATTGGAATCGCACAATAAACACATTTTAGCCAAAGCCAGCTCATGTAATTGAGAAACCTTATTTTCTCGATATACCTGTATATAAAACCCATTTATTTTTGATATTTATCCAAGTTAATTTGCTTTAGTACCAGCATACATACAGTACATGTACGTACTGATGATAACTGCTGATTATCATGTCCTCCCCCCCCCCCCCCCAATTCAAGGCAAAACGGTAACATTTCCAATCATAGATTTAAAAAAAAACCTACGGAGGACGGGATTTAAAAAAAAAACTGAACTGGCCACCAAACCCAGCAAGCTGAGTGGTCATGTGGTAAAGACACCCATACTAGTAAACTGGCGGTTGTGGGTTCAAACACCACCAAAATTTCCATACTTAAATATTTATCAATTATTTGTATATGTCTAACCTCTCATAAATCATGTTCATTAATTACGTTTGAAAAAGGCAAAACCCAGGGGCGGGGCGGGGCCGGAGGGGGGGGGGTTGCAACTTATGAAGTCAACTTATGAAGGGTTAAACACAAGTGAAATTTAAACTGAAAAAGAAATTAACATTTTACAAGTCTGTTTTTCAAATTATTTACTTTCAATGAAAAAAATGGTCAGAAACATTGACAACTCTTACTTTAACAAAATGCAGCAAAGCGAAAGGACAGACTGCTGAAGATATGGTGCACAATTACAATTTGCTAAAAGCGTTCCTTGTGTACATCTTTTTGATATCAAAGAAATCAACAGCAAAGGAAGACGTCCGACCAAACAAATGCAAACGGAGATAGAATGAAGCCTCTTTGTTGACTGTGTACAATTTAAAAACATATATTCTTCTAATTAAAATGTTTCCCAGTTCTTGTCTTTTTCATTGTTTCCCTCAAAGATGAGTGACAATGCTGAACATCACTCATGTGATACGAGAATAACATGGTAAGAGGATAGTCATTTCATCGGAAATAAAAATAAAAATTTACAAAGCCTTTTTATAAAAATTGTTGCAGAGAAAGATAACCCAAGTTATTTTTTAAAATAGTTTTTTCAAGGCTTTTTTTCAGGCTATCCATGTTGCTGTCGATTCTCTGAAACTGAGCAGCATATCCCATGCAAAAGTTCAATTCACTTTTTCAGCAAATACAAACTACAATGTTTAACCTTGTTGTAGAAAATACCAATGTTTGACTGAAAACTATTTTCTTAGAAAATACCTAACAAACTACAGATAAAAAAAAAGATTTTCTTTCCGTTTAATTCAGAGTTCATTACTTTTGACTTGGTGAAGTATATTTTGTGGTAAAGTAGATATTTTTAAAAAAAAAAAAATGAAAAAATAATATACAAATTAGGTAATTAACCCTAAACGCATGACCTGTAGGGCCTATATTGGAAAATGCCAATTTTTTTTGTGGGAGAAAAAATGCCATAAACTACAAATATTATGAAAAAAATGATTGATTTATTTAGGTTTGATTGTTTTAACACAACTTTTCTTGGAAAGAATGTAGTTTCCAGACGCCACTAATTTGGTTGTGTACATGCAAAGTTCATGGAGAGTCAAGTGTATTTTCAGAGTATTTTCTAACGAAATTGAAAATGTTTCTCAGTCGCAGATTCATGCCTTTTCAACATTTTTGCAATGACCGACCTTCGTTGAGTGATAATAGGGCCTAGGCCCTATATGATGAAAATTAATACTGGTGTCAGGAAGCAACATTCTTTCCCTTTTCTTTTAGTTCCATCATCTGGTTTAGCTGCTTTGGGTACATTTCTCACATCAACCATGTTTCCTACCTCCATGCATCAACACATGTGATTTAGGCCTAGTTTATAATAACAATACAAGTGCAACCTTAAACCAAAACATGTGTTTTCATTGCTTGTAACACGTATGGCATGCAAAAACAATCAACATAAACATAATAAATGTTCACAAACTTCACATCCACTTTAATTCATTTTGTTCCTCCGAAAATAACAAGGCTGTAAATGACAATTTAGCATTCATACAAATTGACCGAAATTTCTCCATGTCGACGTTGTGCCTCATTTCACACACATCAATCCGCATGCAAACATCGATTTATAATTTTTGAAGTATCTCCAGTACACATGGTATACATGTACACAATAACAATCGTGCATTATGCATGCCGCACACAGAGCACACGGATATTGTGCACAATAGCCGTGTTCATTCATGCATTCAAACACATCTGCATTTCCCTCGAAAATCGGAAATTCGTGTCCATTTTCCCAGCCCGAAATTCATCTTTCCCTTCCTCAAAATGCGTCCAAATTTCACAAGTAGGTTCGTATGTCCTCCCTTTATTGACTGCGAGAGGTTTGGTGAGAAAATATGGTGAATTTCTGGTGAAAAATTGGGCTTACCTGAGACCGTCTGAAGCTGGTTTCTGTGTTGGCCGCTACCCAAGCCTCGGCTAGATCTTGCATGCTATGCGCAACTTGCTCTTGCAGATCCATTTACCTGAGCCGATTAAGCATCAAAACAAGACCCCTTTCCACCTCCGAAAAGGCCCCAAAAATGCCAGCAAAAATACTGTTTCAGACCAGAAAACCTCCACCATATGATACATCAGAGCAGCGACGTCGAAAACGGAGACGAAGTGTGTGATTTCCAGCGTGAGATTTAGACATCTGTACGGCTTTGTGCGACGGTCGGCTCAGCGGAAAGGGATTATGGATTAACGCACTGGGCTCGCCTTGTATTCATCCGCGTGCAAAGTAGTTCTCCATCCTTAATCACTTCTGTAACTCTCAAACCACCACAAAATTACTCATTTTCCCATCTTGAATGAGAAATCTTCTTATGGGAACACAAGATAAATGACCAGGCCCATGTTGCATTTTCAGTGAATCAAATAAAACGCGTAGTGATACTGGATGAGGGTGACATGTGCGTGCAGATGGGATTAGTGATAAATCCATGAGCAAGTAGTCACGCGACAACCATTAATATTAACATCGGCCTACCATCAGAAAATACATTTACAAACACACCACTAGGCCTACCACTAATACATCTATCCGTATACCACTAGATTTGAGCAATGATAATAATCTACATAAATTACTCCCAAAAGCCATGTGTCCAATTTTTCTGTTTCGTATCGAAGGTCATTTTAAGCTTATCAGTGGTGGAACAGTTTCCGTTACAGATTGCATTATTTCTTTGTTGGGGAAAAACGTTGCTCAATGGTTTCGTGTGCTTTGTGGCCAGCGAATGGCGTCCACAATGTCAACATCAGGGTTAAATGGAGCAGCCAAAATTGTCATTGTTTAAATAAGGGCCGATCTTTGTGTGCAGTAATACTGACAAAAAAATCATGGCCTCAACTTGTACTAGTTGTAGCTAGAAGATCGGCAGTGTGGCATACTCTTATAGCATTTCAATCAATTAGAAAAATGAAAGTGATGAAAGTTTATTACTTTCGTTGTCGATAATGATAACCTAAATATTTTGATTATTTGATTCCTCTATATCACTCTGTGGACAAATTTCGAAAATAAATGTAGGGCTTACACAAATGGAGTTAAAGATTTGAAAAGGATCTCAGAAGGTGCCTGGCCCCGCCCCCTAACCGACAGAAAACCCACTAAAGCTGATTAATTCACTCGTAAAGAAATCGGTTCACTTAAAATTAGCAGCAACATACATCTTGGACTACATTGTATTGGCATAATTTCCATGCCACAACCCCCTTTGTATTTTTTTTTCTTCAGTTTGAGCAATTAGAATAATTTGTCGATGCAGTTGTTACCAAATTTACTTGTCGCAATACAACGTTCCCTGGGTTCAAGTAAAAAATTCTTCGGATGCTGCAGGGAAAGGATTGCTGCATGGAAGCTGAAAATTTATGGTTTTTTTTTTAAGTATAACCTGTAGAGGGCGCTATTCCGATACCATCTCAGCGGCAAATCATATACAGCTTTATGCGGCAAATAGACAAAATAATGTCTCTAAATATAATCACTATGTGCTAGTATAATGGAATTCGTTTTGTACACATTACGGTACTAGAAATTTTGCCCATTATTCCAAGTCCCTGTGTACGGCATTTTCGACTGAAAGGAACGCTTTAATTTTAAGGACTGATTTTATATTCATTAATATATATTTTTTTTTGGAGGGGGAGGGGTAGTCAGAGTATCATCCGTTAAGGGAGTCCGCTCCTTAACATGATATATGCAAATTTTATGTGACCCCATGCACCAGCCAGAAATTGTGACCTCATTTCAAGCAGAAATGTAGACTAAGCTGTTGATTGGTCAATTTGGCTGTCATGTTACTGGTTACCGATGACCTGATAGAAGGTGCCTGCTGATTGGTCGGTCAGATCTAGAGGTCAAGACACAAGTCTGGTTTTGTATAATTAAACACAAAATCACAGACACTTTATGCGCAAGCAGATTTTCCATAGACCTTGGAAGGGGTAGGAAAAGGCACAAGATTAAACAATTCACTGTTTATATTAGTATGAGCCGTGGTTTTCTACTGGTTTAATGGATTTTGTTCACATTATCCAAAATTCTACTCAAATTGCTACGCCAGTTTACCGCATTAGTTATTAGACAGGAGCAAAGAAAAATGCAGTTTCATTGTAAAATTAACTCCATGCAAATAAAACACTGTACACCATCCTTTTTACATTGGTCGGATCTAGAAAGAAAAACCTTTATTTTTGTATATAACACATATTCTTATATGTCAAGAATCTTTCACAATTTGTCATCTGAAAATGACCAAACATGAAAAGATATGGCATTATCTCCCTAGAAACGTCCTGTTTCTTATTTTTTCCCCAGGGTTTTGATGACAAAAACCCTAGTTAGACTAGTAACCAGTCTAGGCGCTTGTCTGTGACTGTTTGATGTGTCAGTTTTTTCATTTTCTCCAGTGGCTGTTGCATGTTTTTACTTCTTTCCGGCTTGTTCCTCATCTTCCTTGATGTAAGCCTTGAGCATCTCCGAGCGCTTAGCCTGCTGGCGTTCCTCGCGACGCTTGCGCGCCTCCTTGGTCTTCTGCCGACGGGCTTCAGCTTGGTCTCTGATTGGTGGAATTAAAAAAAGGGAAATACATTTAGCACTGACTTATTACCGTTAGCGAGTTAGCCACGCCCCTTAGACAAACCTTAGTAGAACAAAATCTGAGTTGAGACTAGAACCAAGACTCCCGACAGTGATGGTCAGAGAAGCGTATACTTACTGGAGCAGCTTGCTGCGTGTCTTTTCGGCCTTCTTCTTGTGGATGAACTCCATCAAGACGCGCTTGTTCTTGAAGACGTTGCCCTTGGCCTTCATGTACAGACTGTGGTAACTGTAAAAATCGCAAGACCAGATAGCAATGTGATAAATCAGAATCTGTCATGTACAACCGCTGCAAACTGTGCATATGACCATATAACACCAGCATATGAGCTCCGTGCGCTACCAAAAGAGGGCGCCCTTTTACCTTGCAACGACGTCCCATGGGCGGGACATTTCACTGGTTGACGCACACTGTTCCTTGTGTGTGACGCACGTACACCAGGGGATTTGTTCTTTGTACACGCAGGGGTCGCGCTTTGCAGCAAATGAATTGCAGTCAGGCAAGATGGCGTCAGTCGGTCACCCCCAACTGTACTCTCTTTGCCGGTGAGGGGGTACTTGTGAACGGAGCGGATACAATCTTATACAATTTTGAAACTGTCATTTTTGTTGTTATTTTGACATTAGATAATTGATGACGGACTCAGAATGCTAATGTAGGTGCCACACACCACATGTGTTAAGTGATTTATACATGTGAAGTTCAAAACACGTACACCTACTTTTCATTCAATTGTGCACAATTGTGCACCCATATTAATTTTTTTGCCTAGTCATGCTGCACTTGAAATTTTTAAGTGTATGACATAATTTATACTCGGTGACACAGTCGGTCGATCAATCAATCGGGGAGTCAGTTAGTCGGGGAGTCAGTTAGTCGGGGAGTTGGGGGGGGAGTCAGACAGTCAGCAACCCAGTCACAGGACAAAAGCCTGACCTTTCGAGTTCACAAAAAAAATTCAACAACCGAAAGAACAAAGTGCTTACAGATGGCGGTCAATCTTCTTGGCTTCCCGATACTTCTTGAGGAGTCGTCTCAGCACACGCATCCTGCGGATCCAGATGACCTTCTGTGGCATACGGGCGTTAGCTGTACCCTTCCTCTTACCTACAAGACAAGAAAAGCATCACAGAGCATTCAACTTTCTGGCCGGCAAAACGGAACCAGTGTGTAGCTTCACTTTTTCGCACAGCTCGAAATGGCCAATGAGCAAGTGGATTTTCCTGGCAATAAAATCTTTGAAAAATTGAACAAAGAAATTGACTGGAGCGGGGCTTGAACCTGCGACCTCCGGATTGCCGTTCCGGTGCTCTACCAACTGAGCTGTCCAGCCCTATGTTGGCGGTTCCCCAATAAATCAATATCTTTGTTCAAGGGGCGCTAGTCTGAAGCCATAAACCCATAACACCATACAGCCAGGGATCACGCCCAAAGTCATGATACAGACTTGGGAAATAGCAAACGGGGATCACTCAGTGAGGATACAGCTTTTTATTACAAATTTTCAAATGAACCACACAGGGAAACTGACTAGGTTTATAATCTTGTTGTATTCACTGACCTGTGCCGCTGTGTCGTCCCTTCCGTCGGGCCAAGGCGTTCTTGCGGACGCGTGCCCTGGAGTGGACAGCCACCGGTTTCCTGATGATCAGACCATCTTTGACAAGCTTGCGGATATTCTGACCTGTGAGAAGACAACAAATATGGTATATCAAGACGGCTGGCAATTTTTGAGGTTGGTATCCCCAAAAAACCAACAACAAAATAACAAAAATCTGAAACTAAAAGAAGTGGTTGAGCTATCGGCCTCTAAAGCAAGGCCACTATCCAATTGTTAATTTTAGAACCTCAGTCATGAAGGAGTGTCATGGCCGAGCGTTAAGCGTACCAGACTCAAGCTTTCTAATCAGCAGAGTGCTGGTTCGAGTCCAGGTCTCGACACTTGTATCCTTCAGCAAGGATTGAATTGAAGTCTTTGGTTATGCAAGGGGACCATTCAAAAACTTGCTAACACCTGTAGTGTTTTTGATCTACCTGAATTCTCCACAGTGCAATAAACGAACAGCACATTGTTGGTAATTAAACTTCCAAAGAACATCAAGTCCCAAATAAAGTAATAGTCACCAGGCTCCACTTTCCTCAATTCTGAAAAAAAAATCCTTGACAATTCTCTGGGGATTTCAACAGTCATGAGAGGGCTCAAGGTTTAGGGCAGCGGGTGGCTGCAAGACAAGAATGAAACCAGCTTACGTGAGTTAGCATTGGCAATCTCGTTGATCTCGTTGGGATCCAACCAGACCTTGTTCTTGCCGCAGCTTAGCACGCTGGATGCTAAGCGCTTCTGCAGCCGAAGATTACTGTCAAAACAAAAGTAGGATCGTTAAGCTTAGTTCATCAAATTTATCTGCCGGAAACGTTTGACTGTAGGTTTATAGGCACAATTGCAGAATACCCCGCCACTCAATCTGGGAACCTCGTAGCTGGCTACGGAGTCACGGTTGATTGCCCTCAATAAACCTTCTCAGCGCTACCTGTTTGGACTTTAAAACGTTTTCAGCAACTGCCATTCCTTTTGTGTTGCTTCGTGCTCAAGCATCGTCAAGGGTACTCCCACTCCGTATCCGCGTAGCTGGCAACAGGGTGGTTGGTTTGGACTTAGAATTTTTTCAGCAACTCCCATTCCTTTTGTGTTGCTTCGTTCTCAATGGGACCTCAACTCAAGTGTCCCTGTAGCTGGCAACAATTGGTTTGGACTTGAATTGTTTCTTTTCCAGCGATTCCAACCGTGTAGCCAGATGATTTTAGGGGTGTATTTCCGAGTCATGGGGTATTCTGCAATTACTCCGGTATATATGTAGGTTAGTATATACATGAACTTATGAACAATGCTCAATGATGTCAAGAACCTGAACGGAAAGAGTGTAGTATCCAGACGCCTCTTCTTTGGTTGAGACTTGCGTACCAAGTCTATGGAGAGTAGAGTACATTTTCTCGGTATTTTTTTAAACAAAATTCGAAATTTTTCTCACTGAGAATATTTTAAGACTGAGAATCTCACTTCTCAGTTAAAGATTCATGTCTTTTCAACATTTTTGCAACATTCTTTCCAAACTTCATTGGGTCACTCAACAAAAATTCCATTGATGAATTTTATTCATTGGGACACAATAGCTGGAGTTACCCAGCCCTGAGTTTTATCATTGGGTTGTCTATTAGGGCTGGAGCGAATTTTTCTCGTAACTTGTAGTATATTAAAAAAAATTTGGAAAATGTTCAATTTTGTCCCCGTTACACACTAATTGCAACTGCAACTCACCCCAAACTTGCCTGGAATAACCATTACACAGGTCCTTGAAGTAAAAAACGATCCACGATGAATATTCAGCCTACAATTGCAGTGAAAACAGGAGGAATAACCGCTAACTTGACAACCTTGCTGGATTGGCCAGGACCGCAATTGGTTTGTGCACAAAACAAATTGTGTACAATGAATGGCGGTCGATTAACAGGCACAGAGAGCGATCGCTGTCAACTACTCGGTTTTGCCGGCTGCGCTGGCTGTTGGCGCATGACGTCACGCGGAAGCGTAACACCCGATGACTGTTTCATGCACTAATATAAGGTTTACCACTCGCATCACAGCTTTGGTACTGGAACCGCAACCAATAGTGCATGAAACAGTCATCGGGTGTTACGCTTCCGCGTGACGTCATGCGCCAACAGCCAGCGCAGCCGGCAAAAACGAGCAGTTGACAGCGATCGCTCTCTGTGCCTGTTAATCGACCGCCATTCATTGTACACAATTTTTTTTGTGCACAAACCAATTGCGGTCCTGGCTAATCCAGCAAGGTTGTCAAGTTAGCGGTTATTCCTCCTGTTTTCACTGCAATTGTAGGCTGAATCTTCATCGTGGATCGTTTTTTACTGCAAGGACCTGTGTAATGGTTATTCCAGGCAAGTTTGGGGTGAGTTGCAGTTGCAATTAGTGTGTAACGGGGACAAAATTGAACATTTTCCAAAAAATTTTGCCTATACTACAAGTTACGAGAAAAATTCGCTCCAGCCCTAATAATAGACAACCCAATGATAAAACTCAGGGCTGGGTAACTCCAGCTAGGGACACAAATGAAACTGCACTGACAAAAGTGACACAGACCTGCAATACAAAATAATGTAAATTAGGCTAAATATCTGCAAACATTTCGATCATTGAAAAAAAAGACAGAATCAGAATTCAGATGATGTGCATAAAAATCAGCACCTTTTATCTCAAAACAACTACACTGTAGTCATCATGTCTACGCCATTGTCAGTGCTACACGGCTGCACCACCAATCGTAATCCATGTATTGTAATCTACGGTACACGTATTGCCGTATTGCAATGCAAGGCAAGGCCGACTACGCACACAAACATGTAAACGCGCAGCACTCAACAGAACAGTGAAAAATCAACACAGTTAACGCGTTCATTATTTGTGGAAATTCACATAAAATAACTATGAAATAATATTGGTCATAACCTACAAACAACAGTGTTTTCGTATATGCTAGTTATATATTTTTGGGACTCTCAAAAAGGGAATATTGAGGGGTATCTTTTGGCAGATTTTTTACCTCATTTTGAGAAAATGGCCGACACGAGGAGAAAGACCGAAGAACTGCTTTCTGCAATTGGAAATAGCCTCCGCCGCACTGCTTTATTTCACCCAACCAGAAATTGATTTTATTCCAGCAAATTAACCCTCCAACTGCAACAAATGTGTCAAATTCAGACTCAAAGGAATGAAAAATACTTGAAAGATGCAAGTTGCTTCTTATTAGAATGTGATAACTGAAAAATTATACTTAGAGCGGAATGATATTGCACAACTCGACTTCCACTGAACCGACGACTGTTTTATGGTCCAGAATTGTTATTGTATTATTAGGACTCGAACTAGGTCATAAAATAGTTAACTTGCGAGAATTTCATAACATGGTGAAACTTCGGTCGGAAAAGTTCGTAGGGGTGCACACCGGTAAATCGATCCGCCAAGCTCATGAATAAAAGTTAAAATATTCTATATTAGAGAGTTCTGAGCGCCGTAAAATTGGGGGAATTGAAGATATATGGTTATGAACCTTTGGCCCGGACTTGGGGCTTCCAATTCTGAGCATTTTGGATGCTATTGGGCTCGAAAGTGGCGCTATTTTGCCATGTTGTGGAGGGATCGTTTTTCAAGATGGCTACTTTTCCGCTTTGGGGGAAATAGGGGTCGTCTTCTTTGCGTGAAAATATCTCGAAAAGTCAATGGTCAACCCACCAAAAATCGAAAAGAAAATGAAAGATGACACATTGATCATCATTTTTCTGTGCAGCTTGAATACCTGTGAGAGTTTTGAGTATTTTTAAAATAATTTTGAAGTATGGGCATTTAGCACTAGTGTCTATGGGAGTTTATTTGCAGGTATGCACCCTGAAACCACATCCAAACGCTTGGTGGCGCTATTCAACGTTGTCCACTTCTAGATTCCAAACAGGAAGGCACTGTTCGAGAACAACCAAAATGACATCGTCATATATCATGAATATTGATTTGATCTTGAATATTCATTGATAAGATGGATCCGCCCATACAGTTTCGCCGCGAATTTTAACGACTAGGCTAGCTATGTGTTGACATCGTATTGTGCGGTAAATCCGGAAGATTATCATGCTGAAAATAATCCCGAGTCCGCTGTCAAATTGACGGTATCCTGGGAGTGGTTTTACTAGACTAAGGACGGGTGTCGGACGCTTCGCCCCATTTCCACGTCGCCCCATGTCACCTCGCCCCTAACCACTTCGCCCCATCCCTACTTCGCCCCATCCCCACATCGCCCCATCTCCGCATTGCCCCATCCCCACTTCGCCCCATTCCCGCTTCGCCCCATCCCCACTTCGCCCCATCCCCACTTCGCCCCATGTAGTATGAAAAAGGTGAAGGCTAGGGGTGCAGACCAAATAAACTGCCAAAGACCCCAGATAATAAATGCTCCCAATTCTAGAAACTTAGGAAAAATACAAACTCTCTGATGAGGTGCTCGAGACACAGATGAGAGAAATGATGGCTCTATCCCATTCAGAGACGCCTCTCCTATTGGCTTGTGAATAAAATCATCAGCCGCTGGATTCAAAAGAATCCGTAGGTATGGGTCAGTGAGTTAAAAGGAACTCACTGCCTTGAGGAAAATGTTCCGTCGAAATTTGTCTGATATGTGACACTTACAACTTCATTTAGATGAGATTGGTTCCTCCAAGAGTGAAATTAGGATGTCAAAGGTATTGTCGTTCTCAGATAAGTGGGAGACGGGTTGGTATAGCCGGGTTGGGAACAAAGTTGGATCTTTTACTTCAAGCTTTTTTCTCGGTAGGGGAGAGCCTAGCTAGAGAGGTTGGTTATGAATTGTTCATTTGGTGATGGGCTAATTCTTTCCGTTGGTTAGCAATTAGTGAATCTGTTGAAATTGTTTTTAAGCCAAAAAAATAGATGAGATTTTTTTGTTACATGTATTGTAACGGCTGGGGCAAAGTGGGGATGGGGCAAAGTGGGGATGGGGCGAAGTGGGGATGGGGCGAAGTGGGAATGGGGCGAAGTGGGGATGGGGCGAAGTGGGTATGGGGCGAAGTGGGGATGGGGCGAAGTGGTTAGGGGCGAAGTGACATGGGGCGACGTGGAAATGGGGCGAAGTGTCCGACATTCCTAAGGACGATCTGTTACTGACTGTGTATCAAAAATTATTTGCTTTCAGTGTATTTCCGTTCACTCATGTTTGCAAGATAATCAGATCGGACCATTTTGTAGGCAGCCATTTTTTTAAATTTAGCACTATTTAATACTATCCGGTTCGTTAGTAAAAACGTCATACACGCGCGCACACCCCTGATTACTAGCGCCCATTGGCTGCAAACGCTCGAGCTGCGTTAACTTCCGGTTCCAATCGTGCAGAAAGTGCTGGAGGTGACGTCACACTAACGAACCGGATAGGTTTGCACATGACATACTGTAGTCTAGGGCCAAGGAATTTTTCAACCTACACGGTTGCTGTAATTTTAAAGATGACAAAACTATGACAAATGTTTTTCTGTTTGTAAGGTTAAGTACATGTAAAACGTTTCTCAAGTTTTATTTAGACCCTTTTATTATTATTAATTTTTTTTTTTTTGGGGGGGGGTGTTTTTAAAATTAACTTTCAAACAGGAAGAATAATTGTGTTCTTGTAATTGTGAAGATAACAAAAGTATTTGCATCAAATACGAGCCCTTTAAACGTACCAGCCCACTCACTTTAATTCAGTTCTGTGACATTTATTTCGTGCATCCGATTAAATGAACAAGCTGCAAAATTGTTCGGAAAAATAAATGCACAAGAGTTAGCGGTAGCAGTAAAAAAAAAATTAAACAGGAACAATTTTTGTACCAGGTATTGTAAAAACAAAAGATTAAACTTAAAGAATTTTTGTATAAACGACAATGACGATATCTTTAACATACCAGTTCAACGGTGACATGACGCGTACATGTAGTCCACAATAAGTAGGCCTATACCCGTTTTCCCACCGAACGGCTGCATTTGCAACCAGAATGACTTGTTTTTCCACCAAAATGACATATTCCCCACATGTTTTTAGTGTTTTCCCAGAACCAAAATTGTGTGTTTACCCAACCAAAATCACAAATAATCCACCAAAAAAACATGTCCGTCCACCAAAATGACATGTCATCCGCCAACCAAAATGATGTGTTGTCAACCAAAATGACGTGTTTTATTCCACCAAAAAAAATGCGTAGCCCAGCAAAATGACGTGTCGCCCACCAAAATGACGTGTTCCACCAAATTGAAATATGTAGCCGCCACCAAAATGACATGTCATCTGCCAACCAAAATGATGTGTTGTCAACCAAAATGACGTGTTTTATTCCACCAAAAAAAATGCGTAGCCCAGCAAAATGACGTGTCTTCCACCAAAATGACATGATGTAAACTCCACCAAAATGACGTACGTACCTGTCGTCAACCAAGATGACGTGTTCCACAAAATGACAAGTAGCCCCTAAAAATGCGGTGTCGCCAACCAAAATGACATATATATCACCAACCAAAATGACGTTTCACCCACCAAGACGACGTGTTCCACAAAATTGATGTGTCGCCAACCAAAATGACATTTCGCCAACCAAAATGATGTACGTGTCGTACGTCCACCAAAATGACGTGTCGTCCACGGACCAAATAACATGTCTATATATAGAAATGTCATAGACTCATTTCTTCATGCATGGTGTAAATAAATCCACCAACTAAAATAGTCTCGTCAACATGGAGGAATGGTCTTAAACACAAAACCCAATGCCAATATTATAGGTTGGATTTTATTAACTTCTTTATTAAATGATTTTGTAATATTAGGCAGGCAGACAGGCCAATTCCCTTCAACATTTAATGGACCTAAATTCATTACTAAGTTCTACTTCATTCGGCCTCGTTCAGTCACGGAGAAAAGGTCCGTAGTGCGCGTGCATGCAGAAGCCAGGAACACCATCATACCCAACCTCGTCCCCAGGGTGTCGAGCAGTACGCCCCCACCACTACCTGCTCTCGTCTCTCACCCTGGTATTGGATCATTTGCATGTGCAAGATTTTTGCACACGTATGCAAATGAGGAACAGTCTGGTGCCTGGATATGCGTTACACATTAGCGTTTGTTTTTGTATGCGGTGTCGGGGGTAAAAACAGAGTCAATTCGTAGCAGCACGAGCACGGCGTGAGTTACGAAAACACGATTTTTGAAATCAAACTGTTACGATCTTATTGAGACAACATGCAGTATCATATTTCATATTAATATGAGCAAATTGTAAAGGAAATTAGTATTTTCGAGAAGGCGTGGACGAATGATCGCGAAAACACGTACTGCACGTTGTGAATAATAGCACCAAGTACACGATAAAATTCCATTACTGGCAAATTGCGGTATCCAATCAGGATACAGGAAGAAAGTTTCCTATCCAGGGTTTACTATTGGAAACGCGGTTGGAAATAAAGTAAGCACTGGGGACGAGGTTGCATCATACCATACATGTACATGTACAGTACATGTACAATGTACAATGTACAATGTACAATGTACAATGTACAATGTACAATGTACAATGTACATGTACATTTGTACATGTACATGATGTACAATATCTGTACAGCAAATTTTACGTTACTATTCACACATGACGACATGTAAATTATCATATTTGAATATGCACAAGTATGTCATTTTGGTGGTTCTCCATAAGTGCTTACCTTCCAAACAGGTGTCCAAACAAAAAGCAGGCAGATCACTTCGCAGCTGTGAATAGTTTGGAACGTAAGTCAGAGATATTTTATTAACCCATCTTTATTTGTGTTTTTAAGATTATTTTTTTTCACGGAAATGTAGAGACTAGAGTACGTACGGGTAGATGGCTTTTAAAAACTCTATTCATTGACCAACGCTGCACGTTAGACTTAGCTTGAGCATGGAGTTTATACTTTTTTTTTATAGCTCCATGGCTTGAGTAACTCCAGCTGACAAGTGACATGTTCCATATTCATTCACATGGAACATGTCAGCTGGAGTTACTCAAGCTAGTTTATACTAGTGAGATTTGCAATGCCCGCGATCAGTATCAATTCAAGTATCATTAATAATGGGGAGGGGGGGGGGGGGGGCGGGGGGGGGGGGGCGGGGGGGGGGGGTGGAGGGAGATGGGGGGGGGGTGGGTACAGCTGTGGCGGTTGTTTGTTTGGGTGGAAGTCCCAATACTTAATCACATTTTACAGTTTGATTGGATTGCCATATGATTTTAGAGTACTCCTAGTCTTAGAACTATGATGCGGCGCGGCGTGGAACGATGTTCTGCAGAGAGATGCTTTGTTCCATGGAGCATCATCATTCATACTAGAGTAGATTTAGAGTATGTGGCTATAAAGTATCATGTTCTTGAAAACATTCATATTTTTTATGGACTTTTCTAAAAATGGGAATCTAAAATTGACACATACACATTTTTATTTCAACACCATTTATTCGGCTTTTGTAATTTTCAGACTTGCAGACATCAAAACCAGCAGAGCGATATGGAAGAGTCCCAGAATACAGCTGTAGATCTGAGTGATATGATCGTGGGCTTCATAGGAGGTGGCAATATGGCACAGTCCATCATCAAGGGACTACTGAGGGAAAGTAAGCAGTTCAAATCCAATGCGGTAGAAATTATTGCTAATATTGATATTATTTTTTTGTGAAGTTTTCTGTGCATATTCAGGACCATTGGCCAAAGCTCAATTACCCATTTATAACTGGTTTGCGAGAGGCAGTTGTAGTAAATTGACTTGCCCAAGAACACAAGCTGAACCTAATAACCAATTTGTAACTGTTTTTTTTGTCTTTCAATTACAGACGTCTTTAGACCTGAACAGTTTATCATCAGTGCACCGAGCGACAGGAATCTCAAGAAGTGCAGGGTATAATTTTTTTCTTCAAATTAAAGCCTTTGTAATTAAAGCTATTGTTAATTGCTCTGCACAATTGGTCGATCACGTATCGTTTCCAATCAATCATGCCATACGTCATGTTGATCGCACGGCCATCAATTGATCACATTTTCTTTATAAATCACAGCTCTGGAGGACCATTTGATAAAGTCTATTAGGATCAACCAATTGCGCACCTGCATTTCTGTGCAATTGAGTGATAGCCAATTAAATCCACTGATTGCACCCATCATTCAATCCCTGGCATTATGCCAATGTTGGCTATTTAGGCCTCATGTTTCAGTTTAACTCAAACGAGGCATAACTTTTTTAAAAATTTTATTCTTACTTTTGTTGGTCCCAGAAGGGTCGGCCTACAGACCTTTTTGTATGAGACTGACCACCTCACTGACCGACTCCCCGACTGTCACTTGTGAATTACACTGGTTACCTAACACCTACGTCACTGACTAAATGACTGTCACTTGTAAAATAGACTGATAAATTTGCATCATGTTACCGCAAAAGTTTATTTAGCCAATAGCCATTCCAGATAAATTGAATTCAATTTTATGCACTCTGGGGCCAGCTTTAGGAGGCTGGCTTAGACTTGTTGAACGTCAGTTACCTGATCTACTAAGCGATATCAAGCAATCAAAAGATTTGGAAACCAGACTACCAACAGACTTAAATTTACAGATGATTTATATCTTCCCCTTCAGGACTTGGGACTCGGAGTGACACGCAGCAACACAGAAGTTGCCGATTCAAGCAGCTTTTTCTTCCTAGCCTGTAAGCCGTATCACATGGTCGATGTGATGGCGGAGATTGAGTCATTGGTGGGTAGAGGCCGGCTCGTTATTCCTATCAGTGTTGGGACACCGGTTGAAATGTTTGAAAAGGTAAAAATCTGAAATAATATGATTATTTAGAAACAAAGCTCTTCTTGTAAATTCTATTTTCTCTAGGCTAGGGCTGTGCGGTATATACCAGATATCCGAATATTCGATCAGAACGAATATCCCAAATGGAATATTCAAAAGTTTTGAACCTTTTGAAGATGACAAAAACCTCGACCCTGATATAATTTTATATATATATATTTGAGAGGCTTAATTATTTATGAGTCAAATAACATGTTTGTTTTTTTGTGGACATCCACTTTGCACACATAATTTAAGAGTTTCTGTTAGAACATTAGCCGTAATTTACATCTTTAAAATCTGTCAAATCTGTTAATTGTTTCTGGTTATGAAAACAAGCAGTCCTTAAAGTGCCTTAGCTAGGCACTGTAGCTTGCAAGCCTGCAGAAACCTGTAGAGAGAAGACAATGAGAAGAAATTACAGTTTTAGAGGTGGGAGGAAAAGCCCAGAAGAATATTCTGGGGAAAACCCACAGAATCAGGTAGGGACTGAAAACCCAATTTACAAAAATCAATCAATTGACTGATAATTTGAAACACCTATATTTCTTGATTTCTTCTAAATGACAGCAAGTCAGACCGAATTATTCCATTGTGTATTTAGTATCAGTACATCTTTAATCCTAGTAAGCTTTGTGATAATAATTTGGTAGGTTAATTTGGGGATACAGCCAAATGAACCTATAAGCATTAAACTTTACCGTTTTACAGGGATTGCCAAATGCGCACGTTATCCGCGTCATGCCCAGCCTGCCCAATGAAGTTGCCGCTGGCATCGCAGCGTACACGTCCTCCAGCAAAGCCACACCGGATGACAAAGCCATCGTTGAGGCCATTTTTAAACCCCTCGGCGTCTGTGAGGAGGTGAAGGAGTCAATGTTGGATATTACGGCGCAGCTCGGCGGAGCTGCGTGTGCATGGGTGGGTACCAGCCAAATTAAAGAAATTATCTTTTTTCTGAAGTATCACAAAATTTCAACAAGTTTTGACAGCAAAAAAAAATGCTCTTAGGTGATTTGTTTGCCTATTTTCATGCAAATGAAAGTTTCCATTGTCTTTTTTGATTGTATGAGGGAATTTGGTGAGATTGCCACTTTTCACAGTTAAAGAAATAAACGTTGGGTTTTTGGTGACATTTCTTGTAGCATGCCATGATTATTGAGGCTCTGGCTGACGGCGCGGTCAAGATGGGACTGCCTCGCGACCTAGCCAACAAGCTGGCTCCGCAATCAATGCTGGTAAGACACATAACATCTCTAAATTGTAAAGAAAGTGGACTTAAATTAAAAATGCCAGCATTTCAGAAATTGTACTACATCTTATTATTTTTATGATATATAAAACTACACAGGCAGTACAGGGTGTAACAAATTGGGCAGTCTGGGGCGATACACTGAATAATTTTGTTACATAATTCATAGATGTTAAAGGCATATACATGTAGGATATTTGCTTTTCATGCATTTTGTTCGTTTCCAATAATAACACCACTCAAACTCAGCCCAAAAAAGAATGTTCAAAACCCAACCTGTTGAAGTTCAGCTCAGTGGGTATTACACTTTTCAAGAAAACGGTGAAAACCCGTGCAGAATCTTTCAATCACAAAATACGATTTCATCAATAAAACTCTTTATTTCAAAAACTCAGTCGATTGACTGATCGTTGGAAATCACCTACATATCTTGATTTCTTCTAAATGACAGCAAACCAGACGGACTAATTTCATGGGGTGTTTAGTATCCATACGATACTTAAACCAAGTATGCTTTCTGATAATAATTCTCCTGTAACTTTTGAGATAAATGCAAATGAGATTACTTTCATGGCTTACATTTTACCGGTAATACTATAATTTTTCATCCAACAGGGCGCAGCAAAACTGATTGTGGAAACAGGCATCCATCCGGCCCAAGTGAAAGACAACGTGACGTCGCCCGGGGGTACGACCATACGCGGGGTCCACATCATGGAGCAACGTGGCGTACGAGGGGCCATGATGGACGCAGTTGAGGGCGCTGTTCTGTACGCGAGAGAAATCGCCAAACAGTGACGGAGAAAGGAAACTAATTTAGATTAGATTTTGGTAATCCGTTGAGGAACGGTAGTAGGATGCACTGTGTAGCCTATGAAAGAGAAACAAAAGCAGTATGTGTGTGCTCTGGTTTTATAGTGCAAATGACTGTTGTCGAGTCCATCACACGTCCTCGCAAATCCTTCATTTAAGATCACATTTCAGATTTTTTTCGAGACCTCCATTCCACTCAGTGGCCTTGTATTGTGAACAAAATTACTGAAAGTCCACGTTACCTTTTTACAAACTGTAGTTTTAAAGAATATATAAAATAATTTTTGTTTTTCTGTTTTATTCTGTTGTGAAACAAGGTGATATGTATCAATTTCATCTATAGTTACTCTAGAAGTAAAGAAAATTTATTTTTCAAGTTGGAGTCTATCGACAGAGCATTACGGACACGTATTTGTTCCTGTCAAACATATTTGTAATGATTGTGAGACTGATAGCATACTTTTTATAACAGTGAATGTTAGTTTGGAATTTGCAATATTAAAGTCAGGTGTTTTCTGGCACACCAAAGATCAATTCCTTTCATACGAGAAGAAATTAGTTTAATTACGAAGGACAATTTAAACACTCGTTCATTGGTCAATATTCCATCAAGAATACAAACAAATAAATTACTGAACAAATAACATTTTTTTTTTTTAAATGAGAGTTTTATTTACTTATGTAGACAAAAATCATGATGTGTGATACAAATATTATTGAATAAATCTAGGGTTTATATCACGCATGTTAAAAGTAGATGATCCATGGGGTCTAGCATTTACACAGCTTAAATAAAAACACTTCAAAAGTGAAAACAAAAACTGAAATAAAAATGTGACTTGTTATACATGTATTGTTTAAAATGGGAAAGAATGAAGTATCCAGATGCCACTTCTTTGGTTGTGTACAAAGGCTATGGAGAGTTGAGTGCATTTTCCAAGTGTTTTCTAACAAAATTGGAAATCTTTCTCCGTCCCAGATTCATGTCTTTTCAACATTTTTGCAATGACTGACCTTCATTGAGATAATATATGATGAAAAAAGTGGAGTCAGGATGCAACATGCTTTCCTAAAAATGTACTAAGTACCCCGAAATAATGCCACTTCCTTAATATTTCTCACACTATCGCCACTATACAGATTTACATGTAGGAACCATCTTGAACTCTCCGTAATCCTCCACTGTGCAGAAAAACCAATAGAAACTCATTTGTACTTTTTGAGGGGAATCCAGCCCTGTGTATTGGTATAGTGATGTGCTCTGTATTGCTCACTCCTACAAAATCCTTCAAATAATTGATAGATTCTGATGGATCTGGGAGAGAAAAGATTCAGGCTGAACCCTAAATTCTTGGGCGTTTCCTTTGCTTGCAAGCTTCGTAAATCCTCCCAAATCCTACACTACACAGGAAAACCAATGCCACAAATTAACTTTGTGCTCAAAGCAAAACCAAGACCTGAACTCCAATGTGAAGTAATGGTGGCTTGGCTGTACAGTCCTATATCCATCAAATTCCTACAAAACCGGGTGGCGGTTATTTCTGAATTTGGGCGGCGGAAGCTAGGGTTAGATGGTTCTCATATACTAGCTGCACACTCCGCAGGACAGGAACGACTAGGAAATAGGTTCATGTTCTCCCAATCGTGCTAGCTGTTGTTTTCCAATGACTGTAGGTAGTCCCTTGCGAGTACTTTCTTTGGAAGAACATCTGTACGGAACAAAGAAAAACAAGACTGAATGGGTTATAAAAAAACTTAAACCAGGAGATCGCCACTTTAAACCCTGCTACAGTCAATTTCTTTGTTCCACTTTGGTCGACTTGCCTGCTAAGAACTGGAATGCAATATCGTCGTCCACCACCTGGGCCAGATTGCCATACACCAGACTGTTCTTGTTTTGGCTTCGGCTGTGCGACTCCTGTGCAATGTGCTGCACAAAAAGCTCCTGAATAAAGACACAAAATGAAATTCAAAACTATCTTATTGATCAGATACAGCTTGGAATTTTTTTTCTGAAAAAAAAACCCTGATTTTTTCTCCCATAGATTTTTGACCTGAGCCTATGCAAAAAGCCGTCCACCTATAGGGGCCTACCTAGCGCGAGTTGGGCATGTTGGGTTGGTAATTTAATATCTTGTACTTTTGTAGACCTACTTGTTGTATAGGTGCGCATGGGGGCGCTATACCAGTGTTTGCCGGCTTAAGTTAAGTTAAGAACGGGAAAAATGCGGGACCGGTTCAATAATCAAAGTCTGTGTTTTGTGAAAATAAACACTAAATATTTCCGAAACTTATCCTACCGTTGCTTTGGTTATCAAGAACAACGACTCCTGCCCAATGACTGTGATATCTGGCGAACTTTTCATGATAGTTCGAATTCTAGCGACCGGCAACAGCGTCAGCTTCGTTGATTTGTCCGCCATTTTTTCAAGTCCCCTGTTATGTGAAAACCCTGACTTCATCGGCATGCTTCTTGCGCGAAATTCAACGATACCAGCGTCAATAAGTGCGACCGGTACCCGACTATCAAGAATCGGTAAGTAAATAATCTTGGTTTTTCTTCGATATTTACCCCAAAGTAAATAAATCGGGACATTTTCGTTATACAAATCGGGACAGTTTTAATTAGAGAACATTGTTGATGGTCATCAGGAAAAGTACATTCAAATAAAACGAAATAAATTGAAGATTAATGTAATAACGAAGGACTCAGTGTAAATTCGTAACCTCTTTCCCTGAGCACTTTTCGTGATTACTTCAGGTTGTTATACAAGAATGTGCGCACTGCGTGAGAACGAGTGCACATGCATCAGACGTATTTGGCTAGTGTGAAAATTATTGACTTGCTTTTTGCTTTCGAAATGTAGGCGTTGCCGTGAACTTTACATCGAAAATAAACCAAAGGTTTATCAACATGTTTGGAGCTTCGAGACTGGTCCTGATCGTCACGTCCGTACTATCCTGAAGTTTGTGAGTATTAAGCAATTTTTCAGAATAAAAAAAATGTCAACTTGTCCTAAAATTACTGGACACACAGAATCAGTCACAGAATCAGCTGACACTGTGACACTGACAGTGACAACTGACAGTTTGATTTTCAGTTGGGCAAGATTACCATATGCGAAGTTCATTAATTTTCCTCTGTATTGACTAACAAGCCCCCAGATAGCAATTTCATGTCATCAAAGTCAATTTGAGCAGTGAGAAAATACAAGCATTTTCTTAGAAAACACTTAACTTAGAATTTTTCAGTCCAATCTCATAGGGTTTGTACACAGGGTGTTGAATGAACTTCGTATATGAAAATCTTTCCTTAAGTTGTTAAATTCATTATTAATTACTATATATGGTAGGGAAACACTTCACTTCTACTTGCTTTATAATTACACAATGGTTTTCCTCATAAGTCATATTGCAATAAAGAATCTGCATGATCATCTTACACTGTAGTCTTTCATTTACATGATTTAACACGATATCGTCGGTTATGAATCATCATATTTATTTGATAAAGTCTTTCTTATTAACTTCATTTGACAACATCCGTTTGAGTCATATTGTACAATATTTGTACGATAGTTGTACAATATTTTTCACCGTAACTTTATGTTTTGCAGCACTCAGGGGCCCTGTCGCGGAGCGATATTGGTCAATCCAAATGATTGTCTTGATGAATATTTCATTGTGTCTTTTTTGTTGTAAATCAAATGTACAGTTTCTTTTTCCAGCCCTCTGCCTACATTTGTTTGCACTCCATGGCCGCTGGCACCCCGTCCAATAAAACCAGGCAAATACATTGTAAGAGGCGAGTGGGGACCAGCTAACTTTCCATTCATCATCATAATTTGCTTAAATAATTTTGAAAACTAATTTTGAAGTTGAACAAAGAGATTAACCGGAACAGAGTGTGAACCTGCAACCTCCGGATTGCAGTTCCAGTGCTCCACCAACTGAGCTATCCAGCCCTATGCTGGCGTTTCAACATTTGGTCAATGTCTTTGTTGAAAACTGACGCAACCATTAATTTAGCATTCATCCTAACCGTGTTAATGCTGTGTTTGTGACTAATTCTAACCAATTAAAATGAACCATTTTTGCTGGCGTTATAACACATGCCTAATGCCTTGTATGATTTGTGGCTATTCAGCGTATGGAACCCTAGGCAAAGCCGAGGGTGCGGTGCGTCTCTTGGGTGTCAACAAATTCCATGTCTCACATCTCACTCACAGTGTCGAAATTGTGTGCATGTTCATGGTGTGAGGCTATGTCCAGCTTCAATTTCAGCATGAGTTTACTGCTTGTTTACAGCTAAAGCCCCATCCATAAGCCATTTTCACAGTAGACAAATCTCAGGGTTGACGCAGGGTTGACGCAGGGTTGGAAACATGCATTGTTTCACACTTGAAGAATTTCAACCATGCGTCAACCCTGCGTCAACTCCGAGATTGATTTTGCCCTGGGTTGAACTCAACCCTGCTCTAGACCAGGGTTGAAATTCTTGCCAGGGTTCAAAACAGTAGTAACTGAGCATGATAAGCTTGATTTGCATGAAACAAGTGTGAAACGATGCGGGGTTGAATGCGGGGTTGAAAAATCAAAAAATCAACCGAAGCGGCACTGGGTTCACCCGGGGTTGAGTTCAACCCAGGTTGAGAGGCTCTAGTGTGAAAAAGGCTATATAGGGTGAATAGGTTTTAGGTGAAGGACTTAGGCAAGTCTACATGAAGTGAGTCATACATGTAGCAGTCTCGGTACGTACATGTACTACATGACAATCATGTGCCATTACTGTGGGGAACCTCATGTATACATGTACAATGGAGGAGATAGTTTCATGTTGAAAGTGTTTCTTGAAGTAGGCAGTTGTCATTATCATACTGTAAATTGTACCATCTGAGCACATGTACATGTATGAATAATTTACATGACATGCACGGAGGAAGGCATGAGGCAATGGACAACGTGACACGGTGTAGTACATGAAGATAATAAATTTAGGCCAAGTTGGTGCTGACATTTCTTCTTTTTGTGGGGAGGGGGGGGGGGTGGAGTATTAAGGGTGTAGAATAGCAGCCAGACATCTACACAATTGCATCAGTAAATGAGTGTCAAGAGCGTCAATCACTTTGCAAAATTGGGGGGACATACCTTTAATCAGAACTAATGCAAGCACAAAGCCTATTTTATAGCACACACTCCATGGGTGTCAATCGGTGGGGGACAGGGACTAACCCCTAGGCCCTTTTTGCTAGGAACCATCCTCAATTTCTCCCCGAAATTTTGCAAAAATGCCTAAATCCTTCAAAAATCGTTAGACAGTCCTGCCTCAAAATGCATTCATCCACAATCCTCCAAAATCCTTCTCATCCCAAAATTGTGCACTTATGTTCAAATGAAGGATACCCAACGCCTCAATCCTTCAAAATCATCAGACAGTACTGCCTCAAAATGCATTCATCCTCAATCCTCCAAAATCATCCTCCTCTTCAAACACCATTTGTCCTCAATCTTCCAAAATCCTTGTGTTTGTCAAACACCATTCATCCTCAATCCTCCAAAATCCTCGTGTTTCTCAAACACCATTCATCCTCAATCCTCCAAAATCTTCCAAAACTGCAGTTACGATTTTGAGGGATCGAGGTGGGTTAGAGTTTTAAAGGTGCTCTTTAAACTGTTTAGGAATGTATCCTCACCATGCAAGTTGCAGAGAATATGCTATTTTAAAATTCTGTACATTTGCAGTTCAGTTTCCTTTTTACGTGCAAAATGTTTCTGTGCTTTAGCATCAATTTGTTTTCTGTTCTAGTTTGCATATTCAGCTTTCATGTTCTTCACCTTTTGAGAGGAAATTAACTAAAGCATGGCTAACATCTGTCATAAAGAGTTAAAAAATAACTCTTCTTAACTAGAGTATTTAACGGAATGTGTTTTTGGAGTGACTAATGTGACTCTTGACTAATTTGGAGTTGACTCTGACAGAATATACAATGTAACAGAATCATACAATGTACACTCCACAACCGAAGCAAAACCATATGTACATGTACATGTACAATACCTATCACCGCTATGCTATAAAACGTATGTGTGTGTATTCAAGGAAGAGTTCCCTCAGTAATTCAGGCTGCTATGGTAGATCTCCCACATAGTAGGTGATTCCCGCGAAGTGTGGACTCGCCCTTAAAAGGGGGGGGGGGGGGGGACAACAAAGTGGACAACACGCAAGCCAAGTGGGGGACACACAAAAGTAGCAGGCGAGATCAAAGTGAAGCTGGCAACAGCTTCCCCTGGGCGAATCAAAGCCTTGTCGTGTATAATGAATCTTGCTCCCATTTACAAGTCAAAATTCTTTTACATTGTTCATATGTACTCCTTGACGAATCCAAAGAAACATAAAATGCTGTGGCAGTTTTGGGCAGTATAGATCTTTATCATGCTGCCACCATTTCAGTCATGTTCCCTGTATCCACTAACAGTACTGAATGATAATGTTGTTTTGTGCAAAGAGGAACCAGACTATTGTTCCTTCCAGCCTCGCTTTGGTTATGTTGATTTGAATGGGAAAAATCACGATGGCCGCGACGTGATAATGGTCTCTAGGGAGTAACATGCCAGGCTCTTTCGGATTATACGGGAACTAATCTAGTTGAGCTTGTTCTTTCCAGGTATTTCCAGCAAAGCCATGAGTGTCGCCGATTACGGCCAGCGGGCCGAGGACCACCAGCGCCTCTTGGTCCTGGTCAAGCCCCTCGTGCAGCTCAGGACCAAGTCCTACGCCCGCATCATCGACCGGGTCACCAGCGTGACCTACATCCAGCTGCCAGACTCCAAGCGCAGCCTGTGGATCCGCTACAAGCAACACATGCACCTGGAGAACAACGACTGGGGAGATTTCCAGGTGAGCAGGAACAGCACCTTATTTTAAGGTGAAGCACCTCATTTGTAGGTGCAGCACATTCCAAGGCATAGCACCTGATTTCAAGGTGCGATACCTTGTAGTCAGAAGCTACACCCTATAGAAATTTGGGGTGCTGCACCTTATTTTAAGGTGAATCACCTCATTTTTAGTTGCAGCACATTCCAAGGTGTAGCACCTGATTTCAAGGTGCGATAAATTGTAGTGAGAAGCTACACCCTAAAGAAATTCGGGGTGCTGCACCTTATTTGAAGGTGAAGAACCAAAATTTTAGGTGCAGCACATCATTCCAAGGTGTAGCACCTGATTTCAAGGTGCGATACCTTGTAGTGAGAAGCTACACCCTATAGAAATTCGGGGCGCTGCACCTCATTTTAAGGTGAAGCACCTCATTTTTAGATGCAGCACATCATTCTAAGGTGTAGCACCTGAATTCAATGTGCGATACTCACCTGGTAGTGAGAAGCTACATCTTGATAGCATTTTCGGGGCGCTGCACCTTATGTTTAGGTGAAGCACCTCACTTTTAATCGTAGCAACTGACTTCAAGGTGCAGTACTCACCTCGTAGTGAGAACCTACACCTTGTAGCAATTTTGGGGCGATGCACCTTAATTTCAGGTGCAGCACCAGACTTCACTGTGAGGTTCAGTATCTCATTACAAGATGCGATATTTCATGGCAAGGTGCAGCAACTTACTTTGAAGTGCTGTAACTCCTTTGAAGGTGCAGCACCTTCTGCAATTTGTCCATCTAATCACACCTCAAGGTGCAATAACATTGAGGTCTGACACCGAGGTCCTGTTCCATGTGGTTTGATATGTACATGTACCTCCACTTATTTGATTTTTTGCCTAGGTTCATCGACGTGTTGCAGGCGTCATCTGCCTGGGCAAAGCCTCGTGCGACATTGAACTTGCCACGGTCTACTCGAACTTTGAAACCCTGAAGCAGACGTACCGCTACACCCTCTTTGACGCGAGGTGCTTCCTCTTCGGTATGACCCAAGCCGAGGCGGAGCAGACGGCCTCAGGCAGCCGGACTGATGTCATCTACTACTCGGGCTTTGATAACTGCGAACAGTTGGAGGACCACGTCAAGGATTTTGTGTCGTCGCTGTTTTGGGTGCTGGAGTCCAAAAGGCTGGATCGAAAAAACGACAAGAGCGACCGTTTGCCTTTGCTGATGGCGCCTTTCGAGAGGAAAGACATGGTGGGAATCGACACAGAAACAAGGTATAGTGATTACTAAATTATTGGTATAGACCAGAAAGGTGATGCAATGCACTAGTAGAAGCCTGCCTGAAGTTAATTGGAACCTAATGCCTTGATGCATTTGTTTGAAACCCGACTGAATCCACCGAAATCATTCACCTCAACTGATCCAAGGAACCATTTTGGTTTGTTAGTAAGGGCCATGACACATGAGGCAATTTAGGGGTAACTTGTCTTAGGCAATCTCTAAGAAAGAAACGAAAGGAACATTTTTAATTCCATGGAATTTTTCTAAGGATTCCCATAAACTGTAATTTGGTCTTTTTGTGAGGGTTCCTTTAGCTTATAATTTATTTGATTGCCTTTAACATTAACCTTCCCAATCCTCCATAAACGTCTTTGCAAAATGGAGGATTTTGCAGGATTGAGGCTATTTGGCAAAAATGTGTGGCTGATTTTGGAGGACACACTGTGTCAAAGGTCGTAGGCCGATGTATAGTGAAGAACGCTGGTCTTTATCATCCTCAATCCTGATTTGTCTCATTTTCTTGACCATTTTCAGGACCTTCAAGCGTAAGGTTCAGGGCAGGATGCGTAAGCACCTCGCTGATCTGCACCTCCTAGCTGGCCTGACGCAGGAGGCCTTCGTACATTACCAATCCGCACTGGAAATACTCCGAGGCGCAAACGACTGGCTGTGGATGGGAGGTAAACTTAAGTGTTCTTATGTTGCCACGTTTATAGAAATCCATATTTCCACAAATTTCCAACGCTGGTCGGCTGACCAGCGTTGGAAATTGATACAAAAATACCACTTTTCTTGAAAATGACAGCACACCAGGTGCCATTATTCTACAGGATGCTTAAGACTGTCATTCACTAACAGTCCAGTGAGGTATTTTGTAATAATTTGGTAGTTTTGTTTTTTGATGTTTGCAAATGTTGTATACTCCCTTTAATGTATACCCAAAAAAAAAGCCCAAAGTAGTTGTTGACCGTTATGAAGTGGTCAATATAAAAACCTCATTATGACATGTAACCAGGTCAAAAACCCTCAGTTGAGGTTTGGCATCATCTTTTAAACTGATCTTAATTGTTTGTGTTTTTCTCTCAGCTTGCTGGGAAGGCATGTGTGCAGCATCAGTCATCCAGCTGTATCCTCCGAAGCCCAAGACGGGCATCCCAAGGAACGCTTCATTCAGCGGAGGAAACTCGCTCATTGGAGGCGCAAGAATACACAGATCAGGTATCAACATTTTCTGTGGCCATTTCTAAAACCTTGGTTTTGATATCAGCTGTGGCTTCATCCCTGGCTCCAAGATTAACTTCATGTTCAAAGGAAAAGTTTGGCCCGAAATGTAAAATTCGCAATTATTTTGGAGCCAATTAAGCACAGGAATTTTCATTTCAGGAACAAGATTACACAGATAAATTTTAGCTTTTTAACATCTATAGGCACTTCTGAAACTTGGGTTTCATTTTAGCTCTGGCTTCATAGAGCCTCACAGTAAAAAAAATCCACGGGGAAAACTTGTTCTAAGAGGTGGACGAATACATAGAACAGGAAAAGATATTAACTGTGGCCAGTTCTGAAATGTGGGTTTCGTCTGTAGCTCTGGCTGTATCTCTGGCCTCACTAAAACTGAGAATTCTGAAATGTCGAGTCAATCACAAATCTCTCAGTCTCAGTCATGTGAGAAGCTTGAAATTACAGTGTCCGAGACACGATGTAACAATTTTGTTTTCCTCCCTCAGAATCCTTTGATATTGCCAACGGTCTGCCCGACTTTGTCTCGGAGGAGAGACCCAAAAACTGCCTGTCAGCTGACGACATTGTGGACAAATACAAAGAGGCTATCAGTCACTATAGTAAGGTACGTTGGGTCTGACTGCCAAGTTCTTTGCAGTAACTATAGAGGGCGCTGCGGGGATGTTCCGGTTGTTTTCTTTAGCCTGCGTCACAAAAAAAATGGAAGGCTTAATTTGTTTAAAGATTGGTTTCAAATATCCAATTTCTAAAATCGAAACCGAAAAAGTAGAAAACTGAATGTTTAAAAAGCCGGATTTAAGTCCCACCACTAACCAACAGTTGACTTTTGTTGTTACAGTACACCAACGCCGGCATTGTGGAGATGGAGGCCTGCATTAAAGCCACTCAGGTCCTTGTCCAACAGAAGGTGAGATTGTCTGTCCGTTGGTCTGTCCATTTGTCTGTCCAGCTGTATGTTTGAACTTGGCAGTCTCCCAATTTGTCAAGGCCATCTTTTGAAACGAGGGAGAAAATGTTCACACCCCAGTTAAGCACGCAAAATGTTTTGCATAATTAGGCCAAAAAAATTATAAGTCGGTCTCTGGTCAGCGCGCGCATCATGCGCATCAATCTTTTTTTCCCAAAATGTTCCGCGGTAGCTCCAACAGCTCAATTTTTTTTACCAAAGAGCACCAAGGAATGGGAAATTGCACCAAGGAATTGGAAATTGCACCAAGGCAAATGATCGAGAGCACCAAGGCAAATTATGGAGGACACCAATGTACATGAGGACACCAAAAAAGCTAAATAGTACCCCACCTTGTCTGTACAATCCAAGCTTGAAGAAGAAACAAAAAAGCCCCCCCCCCCCAAAAAAAAGCTGCGTCCCCGCGTCAATTCCGGAACTTTGGTCTGACCAGAGACCGAATATTTTTTTTTTTGGCCTTACATGTATACAGAGTTTTGACTAAATTTCAAAAGGTTATCTGAATGTATTGGTTGTCTAATTTCATAATCATAACAGTTGTATTCCTATATGTCAAACTAACCACCCTCTGTTTACTTGTACTTATAATCTTACTCACTCAACAGGCTTGTTACTGCAATCACAAGGTATAACATATAATCTTTTGATACATCAGGAAGTGCTTCAAAACTCAAACTCTTTCTGCTCCACTTCGAACTCTTATTATTTGGGGAATGTGACCCATTATCACGGGAACATGTGGATAGTTTATTTCCAAAACGCGATATACGCCATTTTGTTCCCGCTCTCTCCTGGCTGCCCAAAAGCAATTTTGATATTCGATAATTTGGACTGTTATAAAATTAAACACAACCTAAGAATACAAAAATGAGAAAAATGAAGCTTAGAAACAGCTGTAATACTCTTTTGATTCTGTAAAGTTTCGTAACCGTGCAAATTTTTCATTTTTTTGAAATGGATATATCGCGTTTTGGAACTAAACTCTTCATGTCTTAAAAAATGAAAACAAACATTAATGTATTGTATCTTCCAATACAAGTTTTTGTGATGTGAAAGTGAGTTCCCAGCAAATTGCTTAAAAGAGTTTGGAGTGTTTGAAACGCTTCCATTGGCATGAATGTGTGAGAGAAGAATGCAAAAATAAAAAGGCAGTAAACTTGAGGTATACCTCAACGTTTTTCAAGGTTTTTACAGAGTGCCTTGGAGTTCAGCCTCAAGCCACCAATTCGAGCGATTCAAAATGCAGTGCGCCACCAAGAGTTTGCCACAGAGAGTTCATTTTTCAAGGTCACGGTCGACAAAACATGGCCCATTTGAATGAGTGTCAGTAGAAAACTTGAGCTAATTTGTTATAGATTGGGGCAAAGCGTTCTGCCGCCTTACAAAAAAAACTCCATATTGATAAAACGAAAAGAAAAGGGCAAAGAGATACTCGAATCATACGCTTACGAACTTTCTAGCCGGAAAAACTAACAATTTCAAATGTTCCACGCTGCGAATTTGTCGACCATCTCCCACAATGCACTAGGAAAAATGAACTCTCCGTGGCAAACTCTTGGTGGCGCACTGCACTGCGAATCGCCCGAATTGTTTCATTTTGCATTCTTTCCTAATAAGCATGTACGGTATCATGTAGCATGTACAGTGAATGTGTTGAAACACATCAGTGTTGGTGAACACTGAGATTGGGATGTAGGAGATAGGACCATTACTCAGTGTCTTCCAAGCTTGATATGATTGGAGATTGAAGATTGTTGGAACTTACATGCACGATGCACTACTCAGCTCGACATGAGGGATGCACAAAAACGGAAGAGCACTTAACAACAGTGCACCGTCATTAAAAGTGAAACGCTCACCTGCCGTGAATTTTGACATAGCATTGTGCAAGCATGGTGCTTTTCTTTATAAACATTTTTTTGTCAAGAGTTGCCAAGATATCGGCTAAAAATAAAATTGTTAATGCTAGCATTATCCACTGTTTTATTGGATGATACATTTTGATTGTCAAGGTGTTACAAAAGTACATGTATATTGACTGTATATCTAGGTTGTTTTGTGAAACTTTATACATGTATCGACCTTGTTCTCGAGTGGTTTGTGCATAATGCTTACATTTATGTTAACAACGAGACATGTAATTATCAGATAAAAATAGTGATTAGTTTTGTATCAGTGTACATGTAGTTGCAATTAGTGTAATTTGTGTTTGCATGAATAATGAGTTATTTATTTTCTTTAAAAGATGGTTGATTTTTTTTTCAATAGGTTTGTTAGTTACAGAATCAGTGTAGCTCACTCACAGAACTTGGGAACAAAGTAGTGAGAACTGGTTTCCTAATTAACGGAACAGTCCCCTGGAAGGCAATAGTTTTGACACTACATTTTCAAAGATAGAAACAACCTCCCCCCCCCCCACCACCTAAAAAAGGGAAACAACTGTGAATTGTAAAACAAAGACTTTGATATTTGTTGACACTTCTTTATATCATTTTGAGGCTAATGATCGAGCTAATGAAATTTACATTTGAAAAGTTGAACAAAGAAATTGACTGGAGCGGGGCTTGAACCTGCGACCTCCGGATTACCGTTCCGGTGCTCTACCAACTGAGCTGTCCAGCCCTATGTTGGTGGTTCATCAATTAGTCAATATCTTTGTTCAAGGGGCGCTAGTCAGAAGCCATAAATCCGTATTACAGCCAGGGATCACGCCCAAAGTCACGATAAAAATTGACCGGAATTTTGTTCAGGCAAATGTTTTGGTTCCTTTTTATCTGATTCAAAATCCACATGAATTATTTAAGAATAAGATGATTGCAACCATGATCTGTGATTTGTGAGTTAACTTGCCACTTGTCTTCCTGTAGAAAACCCTAGAGGCTGCGGATTTCCTCCAGAACGTCATCTACATCAACGTGAACCTGAGCGACCAGGAGAAGGTGGAGCGCTACAGCGCCCTCTCTCGGCTCTTCACGCTCATCGGCTTCCATCGCAAGGCAGCCTTCTTCAAGCGAGTTGCGGCCATGCAGTGCGTCACGCCGCAGAATCAGCACCCAGCATGGAACATGGTATACACGCTGTTTTATTTTTGGTTGGTCAGGCGTCTCCGTTTTACAACCTTGCTTTTTGAAGATACCATGCATCTTTCAGGTTTTGCTCGTACTTCCTGCCCTGCAAACAGAGCGCTGCTAAGGGCTGATGAGCTTCACAGAATCTTATGAAGGAAGTACAGATTGACCTTTGCATGCAGCTAGCGCGCGCTACGCATGATGGGCACCGGAAGCTAGTTTGTGTGACGCGTTCTACGTCACAGGTCACGCAAATCTATCCATTGAGAGCTCAAATGACGTCAGCCCTGACCAGCGTCCTGTGTGCAGGCGGGGGGTACGAGCGAACTTTCAGGTCTATAAAACATGTGTATGTTCCATATCATAGCAGTAAGCATTTGTCAAATGAAGCCTTTTTTTATCGTGTTCCAGTGCAACCAGTTACTAATGGAGACATTAAAAGGCTATAAGCTGACCCTTGACCCCAGGGAGTATCCAACAGGTAAGATATGTTTTTTATCCCCCTGGCTTTCAAGCGAGACAGGGGTATATTGCGATAGCGTATTCCTTCTGTGTGTCTGCGTGTCCGTGTGTGTGTCTTCCATTTCACTGTTAAGTTCAGTCATCAATCTCAACCAAACTTGAAAGGTGTTCTGTGGAGAGATGGCTGACGTCAAAAAAATCCTTTCCAATAGGGACATTTACGAGGTCTCTGGAGAGCTCAGCTCAGTATTACTAATGACTCTAACATATGTTAGTCCGGTGTCTCACCGAAACTCTCCATTCAACCCAAACTCCCCATTCAACTGAGAACTGGTTCCATGCCGGGTGGACAATCAAGGCCTCACTGAAAATTGTTCTTACTAATTGCCTGTAGATGTACATAATAAAAACTGGCAGGATGCTAGGGGGATCGCGCAAGTTTTACTTGCAGTATGTTTTTTTTGTAGATCGACCCTGTGGCTGGCCGCTACTACAAACCCGGATCCTGCACGAGCTTGTCTTCTCCGCGCGACGTATGGGGGAATACGGGATTGCTGTTAGGTATGTTTTGCAATGTTGAGAATTTGATTTTAGAGATTTTACCTGTGTTTTGAAAGTATAAAACACGTCTGAGCACAGATGTTTATAAAAGTATTTGTAGGCCTGTTATATACAAAAATGTAACTTGCTCCAAATACCTTGGATCTACTGTTTCTCGTGACCTCACTCTGGATGCTAAACTTCCTGTCAATCCCACTGCTGCCACCAAATTTCGTGATTCTTGAAATCCTCAGGATTCTGTCCTTCATGCTGCAAGTCCTTCATGACCAGCTGTCTGGGGCCGAGAAGCGAGACATTGCCATCAACCTGGGCACGCTGACCAACAAGGTGGCTGGTGTCCCACACCCGATCGCCAGGGAAAACGGCACTATTTTACCGGCTGTGCCGTTCACAAGATTCCCGGCTGTCAAGTAAGCATGTTGGAATGAATCTGATGTGTAATGATTAATTGGCTGTTTCGCCAAACTTGCCGAAACAGCCTTTGTTTTCGTTAAAATTTGAGAGACCCGAACTTGACGTTTGCGGGAATTGATAGAGTAATCCAGGATCACATAATGTGCTAAATCACGCGACCCTTCCTTACAGTTCAAACCAGAAGTGCCTCATAATTCGAAATGGGAAAAAGATGGGAACTTGCTTTCAATGATGTCAGTCTCTGGCTAGGTTGTACTTTACACAAAAAAATTACCAGTGGCGAAATAAAATGTTATAGCACCCTCTAGCGGCAGGTTGGAAAATGTCGCATTTCACAAAAGAGTTGCCGAAACAGTCTCTGTTTGTCCACAAATTTTGACAATTTGATACCAGTTTTTATGCATATTGAAACATTCATGTTTTGTTATTTTCTAGGGCCTTTAGGCTGGTTCCGTTGTCTAGGCAGCTGACTCCTTTGCTGCAGAAGCTTAGTCTTAGTACCAGTCCCTCTAGCGAGTCCCTAGGACCGTTCATCTACTCTCCGATACAGAATCGAGTCTGCATAGACAAGAAGTTGAAACCACGAGTCGGTGAGTTTAACAGAAAACAAATGTCGTTATTGTATGCTTTTAACCACCATCCCCCTGCCCCAAACAAAATGCTATTCGCTCGAAATGTCATCTGCCTGAGATAATTAAGAGTGGGTCCACGTAAATATTTCATATAAGGGTCCTCTGCAATTTTGTTTTTAATATGAAAGGACTTGGTGGGCAAGTAACCAAAATAGAACTTACAATTTTTTTAAGGCCCGTTGCCATGGAAACAGGCCATTTTGTGTTTTTAGGCATTTTTAGTCAGTTTTGCGGCTACAAAAACTGTTTTTTAACTTATCTTTAAAAAAATCACCCAACCAAAATGTAAAATTATATCACTTTCAAAATTATATAAAAATACCAAAAACACAAAATGGCCTGTTACCATGGCAACACGCCATAGAAAAAAAAATTAAGTTCTATTTTGGTTAGCTGCTCACCAAGTCTTTTCATATTAAAAATTATTTTAAAACATTGCCGAGGACACTTATGTGAAATATTTACATGGAACCACCCTTAATAGGTCGTTACAGAGATTTGATATCATTTCATATAATTTCAATTTCATCCATCTAAAATAATTGATTTTTTATTCAAGGGGCCTGCACAATGGAAACCCATTTAATCCAAATCTGAGTGTGCACCTTTATGTTCCATCTGTCTTCACGTTCAGTCTTTGGTCTGTCATCCCAGAGCCTCTTTTGGTTGTAAAGAATAATATACATATTCATGAGCCACCAGTGATGTCATCGAAGCCAGAGGCTTCTTTCGTAGCTCAGTTGTCGTATTTTGAAACACTGTTTGTGTTGATTTTCTTCCTGTAGATTTCAAGTGGGTGGCAGACGACGTCTGTGAGATGTGTCTCAGCTTCTACAACCCCTTGCCGTTTGAGCTGCGAGTCGGTAACTTGGTGAGCTTTTAAGTTTTAACCAAAGCCCCCCCCCCCCTCTCCATACATACAGCCGATCGGCAGAGTTGGATGTGGAAATTCTTTATTGGCATGTTGATCAGGGGTAATAATGTTATTAACAGCATCTTCAGTATAAACTTATTTAAAGTTGCATTCCACATGCTCTTCCAAAAAAAACCCAGCTTTTTTATCCGAGCAAATTTTGTTTTGTTTTAACGAAAAACCTACTTTAATCTTATTTTGGGCATTTGAAACTCTCTGGAAAAAAAAGGGCTTTCATTTTGAACCCGCCCTACGACAGCCAAATTATTGTTTGACAGCCTATTTTTTGAAGAGAAAATGTAATAACTAAATGTCTGTGGATTTTTTGTTCCATGTCTCATTCAAAATTGAGTAACTTTCATAAAGTTAGGAAAATAGCGATTGAAAAAACAAAACTTATTTTGAGTTGAAACTCTAAAATAATACATGTACAGGGAACGCATCTATAAGAGTTCAGGTTCACGTTTCTGATAAACTTTCATGAGGTTAATGTCTGATTTTTTAAAACATTTTTGTTGCTTTTTGTTTGAAGGGCTTTCTGACAGAAGGTTTGCAATTCGAACCCATCCCGGCCACAGTGACCTTGCCAGCAGAGTCAGGTCCCCACACTGTCTCCATTATGGGGACACCAAAGGGGGCAGGGATCCTGACCATAGTAGGTAAGAAGCACCGCTGTTTGTGATTGAAGAACGTGACCAAAAAGGGTATTCCAACAGAAGACTTGTGACCTGACTTTTGATTGACATGTGATTGACTTGTGATTAACTTGTAGTTGACATGTGATTGACATGTTATCATCATGTGTTTGACATATGTTTGACTTTTGATTTGCATGTGATTGACATGTGATTAACACAATGTTTGACTCGTGATTGACTTATGAGTGACATGTGATGAACATGTGATTGACTCGTGATTGACTTGTGGTTTTCTTGAAATTTACATGTACTGTACATGTATTTGACTTGTGATTGACATGTGATGAACATGTGATTGACTTGTGATTTACATGTGTCTGACTTCTCATTGGCTTGTAATTTATGTATCATTGACATGTGATTAACAGGCAATTGACATGTTAATAACATGTGATTGACTTCTTATTGATCTGTGAAGACCTCTAAGTGACCTGTGATTAAGTTGTGATTGACATGTGAATGACATGTGTTTGACATGTGAACAACATGTGTTTGACATGCAATAAACATGTGTTTGACATATGATATTTGTGATTGACATGTGTTTGACATGTGAACGACATGTGTTTGAAATGTGATAAACGTGTGTTTGACATGTGATATTTGTGATTGACATTCGAATGACATGTGAGTGACATGTGCATGACATGTGTTTGACATGTGCATGACATGTGTTTTGATACCTGATTTTCTTGTGATTAACTTGAGAGGACTTAAACTACAAGTCTGATTTCACCGTTTCGTTTTTTGGCCAACCCTCCATAGGCTACACCACCAACGTCCTGGGCGTGGAGAGCCACTGTCGTTTCAAGCACATCCCCACCGTACCCCAGTCCTACTATGAGGTGGAGGTGGTCCCCGCCTTACCCCTACTGAGGGTCAAGACGTCCCTACCCCAGGCCGTCAGTACGCTGAGCCTGGACCCAGCCGAGAGTAAAGCCAACACCAGCGCAGCTGTTAGCTTATTCCAGGGGGAAAGGTCCGTCGAGATTCCTTCACAAATACCCTGTCAAATTGTTTTGCCTGAAATTGTATCATTCGAAAAAAAAAACAATCATAGAAGATGGTTTAAGAAAATGTTCCCCTGGGCACAGCAACAAGACCCCAAAACTTGCGCATGTGTTTGTTCTGTTTTCTCAGAATGCATACATGAAGTATCCACAGAGCTAAATCTTCAACAGGTTTAATGCACCCTTCTAAGATTTTGAGCAATTTTGTTGCTACAAACGAAGAACACAAATATGAGCAAGAGGCAAGTGATGTGTATTTTTTTTCTGTTTTCAGTTGTGAGTGCGGGTTGACGTTAAGCAACGGAGGGAAAGTCCCCGTCGAATCTCTTTCACTGAAATTGTCCTCAGAATCAGGTAAATCGTTGGCTGTGAGATAACAATTGTTTAAGGATCTATGATTTTTTTTTATCGACGTTACAATGTTGTATGAAGAGTCGATGGGTGAAATTACGGTTCAATATCGGATATTGGATATATTCAGTTTATTTATTAAATTTGTACAAACAAAAATGGATGTGCTCGGCTAAGGCCAAATTAAAAAAAACATGTTTAGCATCCCCGACCTTTTTGGGACCGCCTCCTTTTTTTTCTTAATTGAAAAAAAAAACCTGGAAAAATGATAAATTTAATGATCTTGTTCGGAAAAGAAAGTCGTACTTTTAGACTCTGAAAGCTGGTATGTCATTTCCTGAGTACGAGTGCCGGCCATTTAAAAAAAAAAATTGGCGGCCATCTTGAAAAATAGCCTGGCCGGTCGTTTTGGAAAATGGGTCGGGCAGCCATTTTAGGGGGGAAAAAAAGGGCCTTCTTCCTTTTTTTTACAAAAAGGCAGGACGGTAAACATGTTTTTGTGTTTTTTTTGGCCTAAATTGTTTTATAAAATTGGAAGCCCAGCTGACGTGAAAAGTACAAGATCTATATCTGCAATGCAACGCAAAATCTGCAATAAATGATAAGATTTTCAAAACACAATAAAAGAAAAATGTCTGACTTTTGCAGGTGTGCTAGCAGATAAAGTATTTAGTTGGAGCGAGGAGAACATTCAGACCCAGTTACCGTTGCAGCCCGGGGGTCAGATGATGCTGACAGTCTACATCAAGGCTGTTGGGAGTTTTATTGCCAAACACAAAAACAACTCAAACGGTGAGTATATGTTAGGCAACATGTTGATTTTTTTTGGGGGGGGGGGTTTAGGTTCTGGAAGGGTTTTAACTTTTTTTGTTAACAAACAGGTGCTAAGTAGGTTGGGTGCCGAATTGGTCAATTGCGGTCAATTTGGTCTGATGCTAATTTGGTTAAGAAGTACAAGTGGTTGTGTGTCAAGTCGATTTGGTAAAAATGTTAAAGAGGCTGAACCTGGGTTAACAGGAATGGAGTGCCCATCTCTCTTTCTTTAGCGATTGGGCCAGACTCATATGCTGCTGTGGGGGGATCGCCACACCTCCTCCACAGCGAGTCTGTTACCTTCCCAGCACTGAATAAAGCCGGTACCCATTTAACACCTGGGTTGAGAGGAGTAATTGAGGTAAAGCGCCTTACTCAAGGGCACAACACGCATGGCCACGGCGGGGCTCGAACCCACAACCTCATGATCATGAATCCTGTGCTCCACCATTAGACCACATGTGCCAAGTTCCTTTTAACCTTTTAAACCCTGCCTTATCAATCTAATGCTGGGTTAGTCTCATGCCGAATTCCTAACTCGTTTGAATATGTCATTCCAGCAGACATTCCCGTGACACCCACTCCCAGTAAAACCTTCGAGTACAGTACGCCAAAGAGTACACCCAAACGGTCGGCGTCCTCCACCTTCCTAGAGACGTGCAAACCAGATAGCGGGGAGTCGGTGGAACCAGACAGCCTGCAGAGAGTATGTATTCAACATGGGCCATTTCTTAAACCTAGGATTCATATCTGGTTTTGGCTTCATCATTCGCCTGCATTTTCCAAATAAATGGAAATACTTCAAAATTGGACTCGGCCATTATGTAAGACCCCATTCAAATCATCAAAACTGCCAGTGACACTGCTATTTCAACCCAACCGTAGGGGTAAATTGAGCTACTTTTTCATGAGATTCAAGTTCCTCTGGTAAAATGTCGGCATATTTTTCAGATTATTGAGTCGACGTTGAAAATCGCCTACTCTGGAGGGCCAGGCATGGAGGAGGATTTCCACAGGGAGGCCAGCGTCTTGCTGAGAGTCGACATCAAACCGTCAGTGGTGTTCACGCAATGGAGTGCCATCCCAGCCACAGAGTAAGTCTGTGTGTCCCGGGGTCTGTGACTCTATGTGTCACAGTGTGTGTCATGTTCTTACTGTGTATTGGATACCAGTGTTCTGCAAAGAGTTGACGTCAAACTTTTTGGGGGAAAATATTAAAAAATTCCTCAAAAATTGCAATGATGTCTTCGGGATGTTTTTATGAGGGAAAGATTTTTATTTCACGATGTATATTTTTTTAAGTTTCAGGAAGGTCTGATTTAAGCTTATGCCAAATTTTGCAAGTAGATTTTTTTTTTTGGCAAGAGAACTTTCTACAAACAAATTGAGGATTTTTCATGACTTCATTATGTAATTTGCATGCATACTAGCGTAACACTCTATGTACCTACCAAGTTTGACGTCCTAAATTGAGGATGTCTGATGACTTCACTGTGTATTTTGTATACCAGCATCCCACTCTATGTACCTACCAAGTTTCATGGCCTAAAATTGAGAATTTCTGATGACATCACTATGTATTTTGCATACTAGCGTCCCACTCTGTGTACCTACCAAGTTTCACGGCCTAAATTGAGGATGCCTGATGACATCACTATGTATTTTGTATACTAGCATCCCACTCTATGTACCTACCAAGTTTCACGGCCTCACTTGCCCTGTGTTCTTAATGTCTGCTCGTTTACAGATCCAAAGAGTTCCATCTGGTGCTGGATACCCTGAACACCACGAGTCAGGAACTAGAAGTGCAATATGGCGACCAGGCCTCATTGATCTTGGGCAGTCAGCAGAATAAAAGGTAGGTTTCTAGCGGCTCGGGTTCGAATCCAGGTCGGGGAAAGATCGGAAAAACTGCGTCTAGACGTGACTTGAAAACTTTGATATCGTATCACGCTTTGCTGCCCATATTTTAGGTTAGCTGTAAAGTTGAACCGTTTCGTCGTTGCCCAGCCAAGAAAGCCTGCCCTCAACGGCTTCACGGAGTGCGACGTCGGGTCCGGCAGAAACAATACGTTACCCCGGTACGGGAGCGTCCAATCACAGAACAGCAAGTTGCTGGTAACCGACGCGCAGCAGTCTACCAGCCAGAGCAGTCTGTATGCCCAGCAGTTGGCGACAATGGTAGACATCAGATGGAAATGCATATCCTTTGAGAAAACTGGTTTTTACTAATAAATCTTTCACCAAAGTCTTCGCAATGGTGTAACCTCATTAGTTGCACCACATTTTATTGGGCAAGTTGACAAAAAAGTTGAATCGTACAAGTTGTGACACATTTAATGAATATTACTCGACTGCAGGAACAAATTATGGTGAAATGTTTTGCCGTTAAATCGTTCGTGGATAACAATCGCCCTAAAGCATCTTAACGCCCAACAGATATCAAGATTAAATTCCTGTATTAATCATCTTTGTGTGTTTGAAGTTTATTCCAATTCAATTTAATTTCATTTTTTATCATTTGTACAGGGCTCTTAAGAACAGCATTTTTTTTTAACTGATGAGGCCACCCTGTTTAAATTAAAACAGGAAAAAAATAATTAGATTGATTCAAGAAATTCACAGCTTTGTTTTATTTGGATAATGACATGCTAGCCAACAAGAGTTGAAGCCTGCTAGTTAAAAAAAAAAATAGGAAAAAAAACCGAAAAAAAACCGTTATAAAAAGTCAGATGGAACTAACTGAACAACTGTTTTGTATATAGTTGGAAAAAACTGGCGAGAATTTTCTTCAGGCATGCAACTTTTCCTCAGATCCGCTGATTTCCTCGTTTTTTACTTCTCATGAATGCCAAAACACTGTACAAAGTCTTGTGTGGTTTGGAGTTTCCTCGTTTTTTTTCTAAATTTTTCTAAATTATTTCCATTTGTATTCCTGTGTCTTGAATTTTTACAAAACTTGGCAGCTACCAGTAGGCCAGGTTTTGTGACATTGATTGAGCGAACAAATCGCAGGCTGCACAAGAAATTTGACACTTTCTTGTCTTTCCTTGACTGTTTATTGCACCCCATCTTAAAAAAGTCCGGCTTTGCGATGCTGGACCATCTAGACCTGTCCCCCTCCATGATGGACCACATACGCACCTGCCCCATCAACTGGCAGGTTTGTCTGAATGACAGGCTAGTCAACAGCTCTGATGGACAGGCTACCTTCCCTGTAGGGGAACCGCTGTGTGTGGACGTCACTGTGACTAATAATATGGGTAAGTTGTCATGGGGGGTGCTGTGGTCCAGTGGTTACGGTGTTCGACTCGTGTACCGTGGTACATGGGTTCGAATCCTGACTGTGGGAACATGGTGCTTGTGCTCTTGAGCAAGGCACTTCACCATTATTGCTTCGTTTTGAAGTTCCGATGCAAGCAACAATTACAAATTGTATTGGAATAGTTAAAAAAAAAAAAAATGTCACCACGTTGAGTGGAAAACTATTCATATGATGTACTGCATGAGTTATGTTAGCAGTAAAATGCTTTAACATTGCACAAGAGTGCGAATTTTTGGAAATCCTGTGAATACTAGCTTTTTGGGTGGAGAAAGCAACAAAATCTTTTACATCATTGCAACGAAACAGAAAAATGATAAAGATTTTCATTTTTGCTAGATGAGGCAACAGCCAGATTACAACTAATGGTCGAACCCTACACAGACCATCAGAACGGAACCAGAGAGATCAACCCCCAGGAGAAAGTGGTCTGCTCCGGAAACTGCAGTATTAACAGTGACAAGGTAGATTCCATTCTCATTTATGGGGGTCATTGTTGAGTAAACGGTTATGATATTAGTAATTTTACTGTGTCAAGTTCTACTATATCAAGGGTCATTAGCACCCTTACATAGGAAAGTTGTGTTGAGTGAAGGTTCTAAGAAATAGCGCCCTCATTTGTTAAAAAAATTTACTCGCAACTTTTTTTCGCAAAACGAAAATTAAGGTCATGAACCTCAGACTAATTTATTGTTCAGAGCATAATTATGCACTAAATCTATTGGTTGAAAACAATTTAGTTGTTGCTCCTTTTATGATTGTTATGTTTTTTCTTATTTTGAAAATGTTTTCAGTCTTATAGCCACTTTGGGAACCTTTTTTTAAAACGATCAACTTAAACCTTTCCATGTTCATTAACCATCATCTGAAGATGTGTCCGGAACAAGTTCGTCATGATGACGGCGTCATATGTCACCTGACGTCACATTAAAGGTGCAATATTTTCAAAGCCCCATGTCCACCGAAGTACAAATCCGATTGACTTGAAACTTAGTATGTTCATAGACAATGATGTGTTATAGGTGAAAATTGAAGTTAAGTCACGATGTGATTTTTTTTTATGGATTTTTGATTCAACTACCACTACCTGTAGTTGTTTTTTAAAAAAATGTATTCCATTAAATTTATTTATTTATTTTTTTTTTTCATTATTATTATTTTTTATTTTGTTAAAATAACAGTTAGAGGCTGAACAGTCGTTGACGCACACGTCATCTTTCATCTTCCTATTCCCCGGCCTGTACAAATTCAACATCACCTGCACGGAAATGGAACCGCCCCAGCTGGACAATGCCCCGGCTATGGCCCCCATCATCATTGAGGAAGATACCATTTTCCCAAAGAGGGAGGGCCAGTCTTGGAAATACCGTCCGGCTTTGGAGGTTTTGATTACATAATCGATACTTAAAAAAAAAAAAAAAAAGTAAAATCTGTCAATTTATGAGTGAAATTTTTCGTTCCCATCCATCCTTTATCCATGTAAAAATCACAGATTGTAAAAAAAAACATTTTAACAGTTTAAAAAGTGTAAAATATAACACCAGAAGGAATGTGAAAGTCTACCACTTCGGACATTTTTGGAACTTTCACTCAAAAAAGTGAATGTATTTGAGGATTTTAACGAGGAATGTATGTACAAAGTAATAAAAAGATGGATATAAATTGTGTCATATTTATATTTATGGAATTAACATGTAATGAACTTTAATTATGGTGATTGCCATGATTTTAAACGATTATGAGTTTATGCATTTTTAAAAAAAAAATTTCATCAGCATTTTTGGATCTTTGCAGAACAACATTATATCCTGATCATTGAAGTTGCAATATTCTGGAAATATGAATTTATAAACGTAAACCCTCTGTGTCCATAGCATGTTAACTTTAAACCTTTTCAACTTCAAGGGAATATACAACTTTTCAAGGGAATATACAACATTTGCAAACATCAGAAAATAAAACTACCAAGTTTTTGCGAAATACCTTAATAGGATGTTGGTAAATGACAGTCTAAAGCATCCTGTAAAATTATGGCACCTGGTATACTGTCATTTTCAAGAAAAGTGGTATTTTTGTATCAATTTCCAACGCTGATCGGCCGATCAGCGTTGGAAACAACTGGCTTTTTTTTCAAATACTGGCCCCAATTGACCATTGCACTTGTCTGCAATCGATTACAAACCTATGAACGGGTACGAGCCAGCTAGACTGGTTCCCTGACCTTACAATTCCCCAATGTATGTAAACTGCTCTGTTTCTTCTTATATGGAGTCAGGGAACCAGACTACAGGAAAATGATCGTTTTTCTTGGTTTTTATAGCATTTTCGAACCCAAAACCTCCAAAAAGTCAGTGTAACTATATTTGCTTTATATTTCCAACCCCCCAATTCCATCCATTTCTGAAAATTACAGCAAAAGCAAATGATGTATATTCCCTTTAACTCACGTTTTTCATGAGGCATTTTGACATGGGAGTGTGCCCAAAAAATTATTTGTCATATCTTAAGAAATATTTTGTATAATTTTTGGTTGTATATCCGTTATGTGTGCGTTTATGCAAAAAGTATACCCATACCTCCTGTTTGTGGTTAATGACTGGCCTATTCATGTTCCGTGGCCATTTTCAAAATTGCGCTCTATTCATTTTCAACTGATGTCTTATTCATGTTCTGGGGCCTTTTCAAATTGTAGATCATACGGCTGTAAAATTCCTGCATGTAGTGACTATTCTATTCATGTTCCAGGGCCACACATTGTTAGATCTACAAGAATACATAAGTATGGTTTCTGGCCTTCTTCATTGTGTTTTGACGTGTATCAGCAAAGCCTTACCAGCAACCACGCTTTTTTTTTAAAATTATGCTCCCAACTTGCAAAGCATTTGCATGAAAAATTGTTATTGCATGCAACATTAATTGCTTGTACATTTATCTATGAAAACAAACAACTCTTTTTTTTCTCATAATTTTTTTCTTTTCTGCTTACCCATGGAAGTGCTTAGCCAATAAAACAATGGATAAATTTAATGAATACTTGACAGAAATGAGACGTTTTCAATTATAGACAAATGTATTCCTCCCTCTTTTTCAGGTTTTTAAAATGTTTCCTGTACTAAGCTAGTAACTTGGCAGTTGCTGTATAGGACATAAAAGGTTTGAAGTCTAACTTAAAAACGTTTTTCTTGTTGGAAAAAAGTGACTTAAAAGTTTGTTGTTAAAAGCGAGGACTTATGCGTTCCGCGTTTGCAACCCGAAAATCTACTTTCACCCAATTGTCAAAACAGAAGAATATTTGCCATGAAACTTTCTTACTTTCTAGACTTACTGTTTTCATAAGTGGCAAAGTTGAAGTCTATTCAACTGACAAGAAAAGTCTGTACTCTCATTATGCTTATACTTGCTTATACTATCATATTTTTTTTTCATTTTTTTTTTTTCACATGTCTTTTTTGTATCAGTGATTTTATTTTACAACTTGGAAGTTTAACCGTTACATGGGGAGTGTTGGAGTATTGGGCAATGAATATGCATGCTTTCTGTTTCCTTTCTGTTCTGAAATTCTACAAACTGTTCATTATTTTTCTGTTTTATCAACTCTTCATGTGTGCATGAATCTCCACTTTAAAAATTGTCATCGGATTCAGAAAATGAAATCTAACATGAAAACAAATAACGTACATGTATTTATTTGTTGATTTCCTGGACTGTTTTTTAAGTACATTTTTTGTATTCCATTCTCAAAAATCACGAAAAGGGGCAAGTTTAAGTTAAAACTTGCTTTAACATAATATACACAGTAAATGAATAAAACATTTATGGAATTCAACTTAATTTTGTGTGTGTATGGTTTAATGGGCTTTTCAATTGGCTGTAGACCTATCAGAAAGATGCCTAAGAAAAGTAAATTTTTGGCCAAATTTCATTAAAAAAGTAAGGCTAACCCCTTCCATTTTTTTCAATTTTGGCCAAAAAATTAAATTGCTTCAAACTTGCAGGAAAGATGCCTAAGGGACCCTAAAACACATTCCAATGCGATTTGTGGACGGATGGACTTCTCAAAAAGAATTTCTGCATTGTTTTGAAAAAACTCAATTTTTGGCCAAATTTCATTAAAAAAGTAAGGCTAACCCCTTGCATTTTTTTCAATTTTGGCCAAAAAAATGAAATTGCTTCAAACTTGCAGGAAAGATGCCTAAGGAACCCTAGAACACATTCCAATGCGATTTGTGAACGGATGGACTTCTCAAAAGAATTTCTGCATTGTTTTGAAAAAAGTCAATTTTTGACCAAATTTCATTAAAAAAGTAAGGCTAACCCCTTGCATTTTTTTTCCAATTTTGGCCAAAAAATGAAATTGCTTCAAATTTGCCGGAAAGATGCCTAAGGGACCCTAGAACACATTCCAATGCGATTTGTGGACGGATGGACTTTTCAACAGAATTTCTGCATTGTTTTGAAAAAAGTCAATTTTTGACCAAATTTCATCAAAAAAGTAAGGCTAACCCCTTGCATTTTTTTCAATTTTGGCTAAAAAATGAAATTGCTTCAAACTTGCTGGAAAGATGCCTAAGGGACCCTAGAACACATTTCAATGAGATTTGTGGACGGATGGACTTTTCAAAAGAATGTCTGCATTGTTTTGAAAAAAGTCAATTTTGACCAAATTTCATCAAAAAAGTAAGGCTAACCCCTTGCCTTTTTTTGAATTTTGGCCAAAAAATGAAATTGCTTTAAACTTGCTGGAAAGATGCCTAAGGGACCCTAGAACACATTCCAATGCGATTTGTGGACGGATGGACTTTTCAACAGAATTTCTGCATTGTTTTGAAAAAAGTCAATTTTTGACCAAATGTCAACAAAAATTAAAAAGTAAGGCTAACCCCTTGCATTTTTTTCAATTTTGGCTAAAAAATGAAATTGCTTCAAACTTGCTGGAAAGATGCCTAAGGGACCCTAAAACACATTTCAATGAGATTTGTGGACGGATGGACTTTTCAAAAGAATGTCTGCATTGTTTTGAAAAAAGTCAATTTTGACCAAATTTCATCAAAAAAGTAAGGCTAACCCCTTGCCTTTTTTTGAATTTTGGCCAAAAAATGAAATTGCTTTAAACTTGCTGGAAAGATGCCTAAGGGACCCTAGAACACATTCCAATGCGATTTGTGGACGGATGGACTTTTCAACAGAATTTCTGCATTGTTTTGAAAAAAGTCAATTTTTGACCAAATGTCATCAAAAATTAAAAAGTAAGGCTAACCCCTTGCCTTTTTTTGAATTTTGGCCAAAAAATGAAATTGCTTCAAACTTGCTGGAAAGATGTCTAAGGGACCCTAGAACACATTCCAATGCGATTTGTGGACGGATGGACTTTTCAACAGAATTTCTGCATTGTTTTGAAAAAAGTCAATTTTTGACCAAATTTCATTAAAAAAGTAAGGCTAACCCCTTGCATTTTTTTTTAATTTTGGCTAAAAAATGAAATTGCTTCAAACTTGCTGGAAAGATGCCTAAGGGACCCTAGAACACATTCCAATGCGATTTGTGGACGGATGGACTTTTCAACAGAATTTCTGCATTGTTTTGAAAAAAGTCAATTTTTGACCAAATGTCAACAAAAATTAAAAAGTAAGGCTAACCCCTTGCCTTTTTTTGAATTTTGGCCAAAAAATGAAATTGCTTTAAACTTGCTGGAAAGATGCCTAAGGGACCCTAGAACACATTCCAATGCGATTTGTGGACGGATGGACTTTTCAACAGAATTTCTGCATTGTTTTGAAAAAAGTCAATTTTTGACCAAATGTCAACAAAAATTAAAAAGTAAGGCTAACCCCTTGCATTTTTTTCAATTTTGGCTAAAAAATGAAATTGCTTCAAACTTGCTGGAAAGATGCCTAAGGGACCCTAGAACACATTTCAATGAGATTTGTGGACGGATGGACTTTTCAAAAGAATGTCTGCATTGTTTTGAAAAAAGTCAATTTTGACCAAATTTCATCAAAAAAGTAAGGCTAACCCCTTGCCTTTTTTTGAATTTTGGCCAAAAAATGAAATTGCTTTAAACTTGCTGGAAAGATGCCTAAGGGACCCTAGAACACATTCCAATGCGATTTGTGGACGGATGGACTTTTCAACAGAATTTCTGCATTGTTTTGAAAAAAGTCAATTTTTGACCAAATGTCATCAAAAATTAAAAAGTAAGGCTAACCCCTTGCCTTTTTTTGAATTTTGGCCAAAAAATGAAATTGCTTCAAACTTGCTGGAAAGATGTCTAAGGGACCCTAGAACACATTCCAATGCGATTTGTGGACGGATGGACTTTTCAACAGAATTTCTGCATTGTTTTGAAAAAAGTCAATTTTTGACCAAATTTCATTAAAAAAGTAAGGCTAACCCCTTGCATTTTTTTTTAATTTTGGCTAAAAAATGAAATTGCTTCAAACTTGCTGGAAAGATGCCTAAGGGACCCTAGAACACATTCCAATGCGATTTGTGGACGGATGGACTTTTCAACAGAATTTCTGCATTGTTTTGAAAAAAGTCAATTTTTGACCAAATGTCAACAAAAATTAAAAAGTAAGGCTAACCCCTTGCATTTTTTTCAATTTTGGCTAAAAAATGAAATTGCTTCAAACTTGCTGGAAAGATGCCTAAGGGACCCTAGAACACATTTCAATGAGATTTGTGGACGGATGGACTTTTCAAAAGAATGTCTGCATTGTTTTGAAAAAAGTCAATTTTGACCAAATTTCATCAAAAAAGTAAGGCTAACCCCTTGCCTTTTTTTTAATTTTGGCCAAAAAATGAAATTGCTTTAAACTTGCTGGAAAGATGCCTAAGGGACTCTAGAACACATTCCAATGCAATTTGTGGACGGATGGACTTTTCAAAAGAATGTCTGCATTGTTTTGAAAAAAGTCAATTTTGACAAAATTTCATCAAAAAAGTAAGGCTAACCCCTTGCATTGTTTTTTAAATTTTGGCTAAAAAATGAAATTGCTTCAAACTTGCAGGAAAGATGTCTTAGGGACCCTAGAACACATTCCAATGCAATTTGTGGACGGATGGACTTTTCAAAAGAATTTCTGCATTGTTTTGAAAAAAAGTCAATTTTTTACCAAATTTCATCAAAAAAGTAAGGTTAACCCCTTGCATTATTTTCAATTTTGGCCAAAAAATGAAATTGCTTGAAACTTGCAGGAAATATGCCTAAGGGACCATAGAACACATTCCTATGCGATTTGTGGACAGATGGAGTTTTCAAAAGAATTTCTGCATTGTTTTGACAAAAGTCCATTTTTTTACCAAAGTTAAATTAAACAGTAAGGCTAATTGAGGGAATAACAAGCACTAGTGCCCTCACTGCCAGTCAATATGTGAAAACTATTCACTCTTGATTATTATCACCTATAAATAAAGCCATATTAACTTAATTGTGATCATTATCAGTGCATTGAGGGAATAACATGTACTATTGCCCTCACTGCCAGTCAATATTTGAAAACTATTCACTGTTGAGTTCTTTATACCTCTTTAATGATGCTACACTTGCACACAAGAAAGTATTTGGAAATCAAAGGAATATTAGTTGCTACCTCAATTTTTTTTATTTCATATATTACATTTTAATATATTTTAGTCTGTAAAGCAATCTCGTACACACAGCAGAAGTTCATTGAAGCAACAGAAATGGCAATTACTGGACACAATTTTCTTTAAGCAATAAAGCAAATGTCATTTTAAAAATAAACAAAGAATCACACATTACTCATGATACTGTTTTGCATTCTGCGCTCTAAGTACATGTAAGTTAGTCTGGTACTTCTGAAGTAAACTGCACTTAACCCGTTTAGTCCTGGCACCGCCCCAAATCGCCCTGTAGCACCTGGAATCGCCCAGGCACAATGGTTTTATTGATTCTTCAGTGAATAAACACAATGTAATACAATGTAACACAATGTAGCACAATGTAATACAATGTAACACAATGTAATACAATGTAGTATAGGAGCCAATAGGTGTTAATAGTTGGTGTTAATAAGGGAATAAATGTGTGCTCTGGAGGTTTTTATCACTCGTTTAATACCGCTTAGAGTCTGGGTGCTGATAATTACCCGAGCCGGAGGCGAGGGTAATTATCAGCACCCAGACTCTAAGCGGTATTAAACAGAGTGATAAATACCGACCGAGCACATATTTATTCCCATTCATAAATACCTTATCCGTAAAAAAATATCAAATAATTCGTTCAAAAAATCCCGATTTTGTTCAACAAGTTCACTTCATGCTTTTTGAAACATCCCTCTAGCAAAATAATGGAGTGTTCAGCTGGCGAGTAAGATGTAAACAACCCTTTTTATAGAGATTGACGCGCACGTAACATGTTCTGCGCGATGTCGCGCAGAACGCACCTGGCGCGTTGCGTTTTGAATTTAGAACTATAAAATTCTGACTCGCTTGTAGTGTTGCGCATGCCTACGTGAGGATTGTGAACGTTCAACCAATGAAACGGTAAGAGGCACTGGATTTTTAGGAGTCCACATTTTATTGTGACACTGGAAAAGTGTTTAAGACCAGGGGCCAATTTCATAGAGCTGCTTAAGCACAAAATTTGCTTAAGCACAAAAACGTCTTGCTTAATAAAATCAGGTTACCGGCCAAAACTCCATGCGATTGTTATGCTAAGTAAACAACCGCTAAATACCGGTCACAAGCAATGTACATCGCATGGAGTTTTGGCCGGTAACCTAATTTTACTAAGCAATGTTTTTTCATGCTTAAGCAAATTTTGTGCTTAAGCAGCTCTATGAAATTGGGCCCAGCAAGCCATGTCTTTATCATCCGTTTAAGACCGGCCACGTGACGGGCTCTCGACCAATAGGAATAGCTAAACTGTCTGAGGTATTTATGAATAGGTGTTAAGTAGTAAAGATACTCATTGTTCTAAACATACCATGGACATGGAGCCATTTTTTGTTCTGTAGTAGACATCGTCAATCCTTACAAATTTCACAAACTCCACGACATGAATATTTATCACACTGTGCGGAAGACACTTCGGTTCTCGGCATTGTCTTTTCCCTTAAATTAAAACTATCCCAATGATAAAGCTTGGGGAGCAAAATCCATGGACAATTGGCATAGGTGGATTTCGAACTAGGGATCTTGCGATCTGTACTTCATCTCACTATCCACTAGCTACAACTGTGGCATCTTGGCGAGAGCCGTTCTTTAAAATGCTTTAATGTACGTACATGTAACTAATTTAACGATGGTGTGACGTCATTGTTCTTTTCTCATTAATAATAAACATAACTTTTCCCATCAAAATACTGATTAATCATGAACCATTGACGATATCTGCTGCAGAAGCAATGGAGACAGCCATTTTGTTTCTTTGTTGTTACTTAAATTGACAATGAACACCCTCTAAGATGACTGCAATCCATAAGGTCAATTCTAAAACGCTTGAATGCCTTATAGTGAAAGGATTGCAGAAACACATTTTATTAAAAGCTGTCAGAAAGAGTGGAAGCTAACAGTCCCAAAACAAAATTTAAAATATCGGGAAATAAATCAGACATCAAAATGAAACAAAAATGGCAACAAATAATAAAAACCAATACCCCTGCCTACCAAGACCAAAAAAAAAAATTGAAAATAAAATTAACCATTTAGACGCCTCCGGAACTGGTTAATCCCAGCAAGTTTTTGATAACAATTCAGACGTTACTCTTGGCAAAAATGCAAACGATCCTCAAAGGGTGCCGATGCAGCCTGTCAAAAATTGTTGAGCATAGTCCTTAACTTGGACCTCTACTTGAGAAGTTGTGCACGCAATATTTGATGCACGTCTTGTCTACGCAACGCAAATTTCATTCACTAGCATATCTATAGTTAATTTCCACATTTCAGCCCATCAAGATAAAGCATAAGGCGGCATAAATGTGTCATAAAATTTCATCCGTGTCATTCAAATTTCATCTACCACAGAATAAGCCCTTTACATGGCAGACTTCGGAGTTGCGAGCAACATTCAAAATCAAAACAATTCCGATTTCAGCGCTTGATATAAAAGCTTAGGAGGAAAGCAAAATTGCACATGGAACAAAAACGAAAGGTCAATCTGGTACCAACTTAGAGTAATTCAGCTGTCTTTTTCCACCTTTTCAAAATCTATAGCAGTAACTCTGTATTAAGTCATATATTTAAAGTGGCTGAAATACAGCAAGTAGATCCGAACCTAATACAGACAGAATGAAAATTCTAAGGTAAAAGCTTTGAAATAATGCATTTGTTTAAATGAATTTTACATTTAAATTGCTTTTCTTAAACAATTTTGTTAATTATTCTCGTAAAAAAAAATCACACGTAAACTTCATGCCTTATCTGAATCATATACATCACATTATTTCATTCAGCTAGTTTTTTTGCACAGTAAAAGAAAAGTCTGTCCCGAGCCAATATGGCCCATCAGGCCGGCGTTTATCTCCGGTTTCAGTAGCCTGAAACGACTGAGAATATTTCTACTCCCCCTGGATGGGATGCCAGTCCATCGCAGGTTACTCCCCAGCTAATGCCGGTACCCATTTATACTCCTGGGTGGAGAGAGGCAAGTGGGGTGCAGTGGCTTGCCCAAGGACACAACATATGACCAGCAACTGGATTCGAACCCATGACCCTCTGATCATGAGTCACAAACCCTAACCACTAGGCCACACTCCCCTTTGTTTTAAATACAATACATTCATTATTCAACAACTAAATATGTATTCATTTCATATACTTGTACATCCCAATTCACAAAATAAGTAGTTTATTACCTTAATTTACAAAAAATTTCCGTCAGCTTTTAAACAGAACATTTGAGTACTTTTTCTTAATGTTTGTCGGCTAATCCAGTAGTAAGGCTGTGCAGATTCAAATGTTCACGTTTTTGGAATATTTAATTCAATAAATAGCTATTGGGATATTTAGTTGATTTTTGGATATTTGGTTGATTATCAGATATTCAAATATTCCGTATATTCCGCACAGCCTTACATGAATTAGAAGCCATAGCGTACTGAAGTGAGCTGCAAATTCGGGTTCACACGTATAACTTTAAGACATCAGCGCGTCAACCCCAACAAAGAAAGCTGCCGTCACACTTCGGTACTCTATTTACTGAAGCGAAACCATGCTTGCGTGTGGATTGTAATGTGGGCGCAAAACGGTCCTATGCCAAATACATTTCCGAAAATTCGCACATGCCTCAACTTTGAAACATGTGCATGACATGCGCGCCAACATGGCCCCAACTCCGTAACGGTCGTGGACGTGCTAACCTCCAATATGTCACTGTCTGGGGTCAAAGTTCAGATGGCGTCCATCATCGGCGAAGTTTCTTGATCATCTTCATCGTTTTCATCATCATCGGTGCCATCACTTTGGCTATACGGAAAGGAGAATTCAGCATTAGTAAGCATGCATTAGTTACAAAACAAAATGTTAGTTTCCATGGTTTTTATCAAAATTTACAGAGATTTTGCATATCATTACGGACTTCGGGTTTTTTGGGGGGCAATTTGTACAGTTGTAGGTATACATATAATAATTCACAACGTCTATACATTTATTAACAACGGAGCACAAAACAAGACTAAGGACAAGGGGTAAAAAACTTGTAAATCCTTTTCAAAAAGTCACTTGTTTGATTGTTATTGGAAATTTCATTGCAAAAGTTATGAATTTCATATGTCAGGGTTTTGTGGGTAATATAACTATGAACACAGGGGAAAAATGCCTTAAGACTTCAGGCTGTTTTCAGAAGTAACCCAAATTCATTTTCAATCCTCTGTGAGCAAAGGAAGTATAATAGTTGTATCTTCAAGCAAATTTAACATGAATCTACACTACAAACATACAAACTACATGACAAAATATAATACAACTCAAGACATTTGAGTGTACAATATGAAACTTTTCATGACATAGACAAAAGGACTCAAACACACATAGGATGACATCTACATGACATATTTCAATAAGCCAATTTGGTATTCCAACTGCGCATGTGCACATACACCAAGACTGGACGGTGTACATTTTCGGACAAACACTACAGGAACATGTACACAATAGTAACAGAATATGCCTTCTGCATGCTATAAAACTATAAAGTGTAATAAATATAAAAAACATTTGCGCACAAATAGGGGCATAAACAAGTTCAAATGTACCCAGAAAGTGATATAACAGCCTTCCAACTTGCTTAAAGGTATGGATTATTTTCAAGTGTTAGTGTGCGCAGCTGGAATAGAAACTTGGCTTATTCAAGGAGAATTCTATTAGGGATAGGACTAGAATGGTTTGGATGAGCACGGTTTCCGGGATGAATAGGTTCCGAGCTTCTTTCGCCTCCGCTTCTTACGTTTGGCCTGTCGGCGACTAAAGCCTGACGCCTCCGCGCCGCCAGAGTGAACGATGACTGTTGATGGCCGGTTGGGCTGGATGGTGCTGTGTGACCGTTTCTCAGGGATGAAGCTACCCGAGGCTGTGCCGTGACGCAGCTGTTGGCGCATCACGTTGCGCGGCGGTTTGGCCGGGCGGTCCAGGAACGCCATTTTGGTCAGCCGGCCTACGGAGAAATCACCATTCCTTCATTTTTTACAATTTTTCAAATACCCCTCAACTGAGTAGGTGCATTATATAATATTTTTAAGTTGAAGAAAGAAATTGAACCGGAGCGGGGTTTGAACCTGCGACCCCCGGATTGCCGTTCCAGTGCTCTACCAACTGAGCTATCCAGCACTATGTTGGCGGTTCCCCATTTAGTCAATTGTCATTGTTCAAGGGGCGCTAGTCAGAAGCCATAAACCCATATATGCCATGTAGCCAGGGATCACGCCCAAAGTCATGATGCTAGCAACATTAGCAATGCTGCAAACTTATGAAATTGTAATGTGGGAAAACTCAATGACAGAATTAATAACAAATGTGGGAAAACTCAACGACAGAATTAATAACAACCGATTTTTGGTGGATCGGAGTCAATGACTATTAACGATGTCCTAAACCGACACTTTTAGGTCCAGCTTAACAACGCAAGCCTAGTTTTGTTTTCTAATACATTTTTTGACATTTCACTCCAGAAGGAACTTAGTACATACTTGTGCTATAGACTTGGTGCACTCCTTGTATATACTCGGCACAATCATTTTTTTAGCTTGGTGGAGTCAGCATGGATTATTTTACCTGGGTCCTTGGCGGCCATATGAGCTGAGATGTTTGCGGTGATGGACTTTAGTCTTGCTTCTCGAGCATCGTGTTCTCTCTGATCAATACAAGCAAAGATGACAAGGTGATGATCAAATGAGTCTTGATTTAAAATGCGACTCAAATCGGTGACTCAATGAATTAATTTTGCCTCAAAGGTAGTAGCTCAAGGGACATACAAATAATTCCAAGTCCACTTTTTTTCCTGTCCCTGTAACATCAGGCATCTATTATTTATATAATTCTGATGCACTCCTTAATGCAGTCGTCCTCCAAGAGTGATTATGAATAGCAAACTACCGACACAACAAATAAAAAATTGCTTGAAGTCATTCTTAATGACACTTGAATGGCAAATTACAAAGTACCAAGGTAACAGGGACAGGAAAAATGTCACACTTTGGACCCTAAATTTATAGAATGACAAGTATACAATTGCAGGGGTGGGTCAGTGTTTTACTTGAGTTACGTGTCCCAACTTACAATATAGACTTCTCGCCACGACTCCATTTCCACCGGCCATTTGCCTTTGAAATCTCTCTCGGCGTGCTTCTGCCAAAGCGGATCAGTGTCCTCAAGAAAATGCTGGTGGAAAACATACACAGAAATTGCAGTCACAAAAACATGAGCATTGTAATTTTTAAAAGTGATGGAATTTAGAACAGAAACTTGGACTTAAAATTTTACAAATGTTAGAACGTAAAGAAAATTTAGACATTTAAAAATTTGTACTTAGAGGAGTCAAGTTGACGTAGCGGTGCGTTCCTTGCCTTCCACCGCTGTGACCCTGGTTCGAATCTCGCCTGGGCCAATATGTGGATTGGGTTTTCAGTCCCTACCTGATTCCGTGGGTTTCCGCAGAATATTATTCTAGGGTTTTCCTCCCACCTCTTAAACTGTAATTTCTTCTCATTGTCTCCTCTCTACAGGTTTCTTCAGGCTTGCGAGCTACAGTGCTTAGGGCACTTTTGAGGAATCCTTGTTTTCATTTATTATCATCATCATCAAATTCGCATGCTCGGGAAGAGCGTAGCGTCTCGACAACGCAGTTTCCATCATACAGAAATACAGAAATAAATAATAATAATATAAAATACAAACAATAATAATTGGATTTAGTTATAGTCCAAATGTTTTGTTAACATAAGAGACCCAATGAACACAGGGTACAGGTGTTGCAAAGAATCCTGCACCTACCGGATTACAGTCCTCCAGGTGGAACAGCTGCTGTGGGGTGCACTTTTGCAAGACGGGGTGCAATATGTCATAGGGCACCCCACCAACATCATCAATGGCTTTATACAATAAATGGAATAAAAGAGAAAACAAAACAAAAGAAATGTAAGTAGGCTCTGAGATTTTGGAAGAATTTTTTTAACAGAAGGAAATACTGTAATGGCAGGACTTAAATTTCTGCGAGAAAAAAATCGACCTTTCTGAAATAAAAGTGATAATTCAGAGGTTTACCTGGGAATAATCAGGAAAAGTTAAAGAGAAAATTAGTAACGGATGAAAATTCAAAATTGAGGTAAACTGATTAACACATAAATGTGTGAATTCAATTTGGCATAGAAAGTTTACAATTCACAAAATAATCAGAATAGTTTGAAAAATAATAAACAAAAATTATGGAGCAAATTGTTTTACTCGGAAAACCATATCCACTTACCATCTATGTTGTCACACAGTATTTCCATACATATGTCATATAATCGTGGAACACCTAAAAATATAGACAAATAGAAAAGTATGAAAAACAACTATGCACAATTGTAATACTACAATGTGAATTGTATACCCATTTAATTTGGCCTTTTCCGAGTCCAATCTGTTCTGAAATATAAAGTGACGTAGAAGTGTTGATTTCTTGCGGAAAATCATCAGTCTGGACCCATATTTTATTTGGGATGACTTGAGTTGCTCTAGATACATTTGGGTTAGGCGCGTCCCTGAAACATCACTCTGAAAGTATGTGCGCTTAAAATTAACCGGAATATTCAAAGTTTTTGAGATACTGCAGAATTAGAGTAATTACTTGTGAGTCGGTTGATTCGTAATCGTCCCGAGAAGACTTTGGTCCGTCCCTGCTTGGAGCCCAGATACGCCATCTCCTCTTCCGGAGTCAAAGCTGAAACGAGACAAACAAATAAGAACATATTAGATAAACCACAAACAGCGTCCTAGTTTTACCAATGTGACTGACTGTCAGACTGTCACTTGTAGGATTTTGTAGGATTGAGGAAGGTAGAGCCCAGTCACTATTACTTTACATGGAGCTACATGGGGCTTGATGCTCCTTGAAACTTGGTAGGTACAAAGAGTGTGCCATTGAGTTCCTGCACAGTGGAGGATTTTGTAGGATTGAGGAAGGTAGAGCCCAGCCACTATTATTTTACATGGGGCTTGATGCCACTTAAAACTTGGTAGGTATAAAGAGTGTGCCATTGGGTTCCTGCACAGTGGAGGATTTTGTAGGATTGAGAAAGGTAGAGCCAAGCCACTATAACTTCACATGGGGCTTGATGCCACTTGAAACTTGGTAGGTACAAAGAGTGTGCCATTGGGTTCCTGCACAGTGGAGGATTTTGTAGGATTGAGGAAGGTAGAGCCCAGCCACTATTACTTTACATGGGGCTTGATGTACTTGAAACTTGGTAGGTACAAAGAGTGTGCCATTGGGTTCCTGCACAGTGGAGGATTTTGTAGGATGCAGGTATGCTCCTGTTAAAATTGTCTACTGAATTTAGGGACAATGAAATCTTCTTACTTCTTTTCTTGACTGGTGATGGCACCTCTGGTAGACGTATCGGTTTATAGGTGGGCTGAATCTCCGGCAAGCTCAACGACACCTCAGCAGATTCCCGTCTCTTTAAGAAGAGTTATTTTTAGAAAGATTCAATTTTAGAAATGACATCATATTTACACTATTTAATTTTAGAAATGACATCATAAAACTTGAATTGACAAAACAGCCAAAAACAAAATTGATAAATTATAAAAATCTCGTTTTTACCTTCTTTGCCATTTTAATGGCTTCTTCTTCTTCTTCGCTCATGCTCCGTTTCTTCCGGTTCCTCCGACCTTCCTCCGACCTTTGACCTTTACTTGAACTCCCCGCGACTGGCTGCTTTCCTTGTAAGCTCTTCTCATGTTTTGAACCGTCAACTTTGACCTTTGCCTTGCTGGGGTCAGCTCTGTCAACTTTCACCTTTGACCTAGGTGTGGAGGATTTACTGGAGCTTGTCGACGTTTTCGAGGAAAGTTTGGAGTTTTCCAGCGTCTTGCTGTTGGCGACTTTCTTGACTTTGGTTACCTTGGGACCCAGCAGGCAATCACCGAATGACATTCCGGTGTTGGTGAAATCCTTGCCCTCGGATTTGTCATCGTCCCAAGTATCCTCCAGAGGGCTGTCACTGTTCGTCTTTTTCTCGCTGCTCGACGGTTTGGATTTCGGTTTCTTGAAACCGTCCTTGTGATCACGAGTTGATGATTTTGGCTTAGTTTTGTCCGTGTCTGCAGAACGTGACGGGGATATTATCGGAGATTTAGTTGGAGTTGATTTCTTGGAAACCACATCTCCATTAGCGGCCGACTTTTCATGTCCGACAGATTTTGTAGACTTTTTTAACTCCGGACTTGAAGTTGTCGAATATTTGTCTTTTGAGATTTTTTCGTTCACGTCGGATTTTCTGCTACTCACAGAATTGTGTTTTTCGTAGGATGCGTGATTGAGACCGGAAGGGGGTGTTTGTTTTCGCTCTGAAGATTTCTGAACTCCACTTGTGGAGGTTTTGTGGTGTGATCCCCCATGTGACCGGTCATGTGACCTGTCATGTGGTTTATGTGTGACTGTATCAGATCTCTTCTCTGAAGAATTATGGCTTTTTGGTTTCTCACTTGCTACGTCTTCGCTATCACGTATCCTGGCTGTTCCACTTCCAGGGGAGTGATGGCTTTTCAACTTCTTCGCAGGACTCCCGCTGGAAGAAGAATGCTTCTCCTTCAATTGTGTGAATCCTCCCTCTGGAACACCATCGTCATTGTGTCGTTTGAGTTCGGTAGAGCACTTGGAAGCATCATGTGACTTGGACACGTTGGAAGAGTTGTGCGACTTAGAAGAGTCACGTGACTTAGAAGAGTCATGTGATTTAGAAGAGTTACGTGATTCAGAAGAGTCACGTGACATAGAAGAGTCCCGCACCTTAAAAGAGTCACGTGACTTAGAAGAGTCATGCAACTTCGAAGAGTCATGTGACTTAGAAGAGTCATGTGACTTAGAAGAGTCATGTGACTTAGAAGAGCCGTGTGACTTAGAAGAGCCGTGTGACTTAGAAGAGTCATGTGACTTAGAAGAGTAATTTGACTTCGAAGAGTCACGTGACTTCAAAGGGTCGTGTGACTTAGATAAGGCATGTGACTTGGAAGAGCTGTGCGTTGACGAGTGACTTGTCGATGGTGACGTAATTTTGGACTTTGTTAGTTGGCTCGGCGAGAGGGGTTTATTTGAGTTGTGTTTTGGACTGTGCAGTCTGGAGGTGCTTTGTGACGCTGAGGTGTGAGGTTGGGAGCTTTGTTGCTTCATTGGGCTGTGCGGCTGTGTAACTGTGCTCGTCTCAGGCTGCGGTGCCGCTTGGTTCAGCATTTCACTGGTTTCCTGTCTGCTGGCCTCTTCGTCCATGGCTTCCCGCACTTTGGCTTTCCAGGACCGCACTAGACTACGGGCCGACTCTGCAATGTCGCCCTCATGCTTGCGGAATCCGTTCACGACTTTGCCGATTCCCGTTTCCTGTGGAAATTTATTTTAAAAAAATCAAAACAGATTTGTTAACAAATTTAGGGACACAAGTTTCTGACGTGAAATCTTTACAACTGCCATACCTTTTTTTTAAAAGCAATTTCCATCTCAATGCAAGAAACAAGCTAATTTTACACAAACCGTGACAACTCAGTCCTTTGTCACAAATTTGTCATGCACTGTTACTTGTGATTGAACTTGTTGGGGATCTGTGGTTCGATTTCTGAATGATTTGCAATTGAGTTCACCACAACTGTTGACTTCCACTTACATGCAGTACATCGATTGAGATGGGCAGCGCTGAAAGTTTCTGAAGAATCCTCAAAATCTGGAAAAGAGGAGAAGAATTCAAGATAAACGACGAGGAATTCAATTGAAAATATGACAACTTGTTCTTTGCTGTTACTTGTGGCAATAAGCACTTTCACGGTAGTATGCGCCATTTTGTTCGCGGGGCTAAAAGAACGCGCATTGCTAGAAGTGAAGGATCGCATGATGACTTGGAAGCACTAAAGTTTTTATTGATGTGTGTACTCAGCAACGAGTGTTCTTTTGCCCGTGAACAAGATGGTGCAAATTTCCGCGAGAGTGCTAAATGACCTTCAAATTATTAAATAGTAACCAACCTGCAGACACATTTGGTAAAAATTTTACGAGAGGTACAAAATGTTCTTGAATATCTCATTTTGTCTTTCACTATTTGAAACAATTCTTTTGCATACCTTATGCGATGGTGGGGGTGGATCTGAAGTCAACTTGTCGCGGAGAGACTGAACGATCGACAAGACACTAGCATCCGCCATGGTAGCTCTAACGCTGGATCTACGATGCAGTGATATGAATTCGGTCCAGAGATCGGTTCATATTAAAGTTTGCTTTTGATCTGTGAAAAAAATATACATCTGTGATCTAAAATTAAACATTCATGATGTGACATATTGAACACATGCAAGACACACAACAACATCGACCTGTTCAAGGTTATCGGTGCCATCTTGGCCAGGGGTCAAAAATTGACGCTAGCCTATGCGATTCACTGCACATGATGTAGCGAAGAGCAAATTAAGCTGATGCGATGTGATCGCGCTCACTAGTGCTGCTCATTGCTTCAATTTTGCCTTCTGGCCAAGATGGTGTCGTTAACCGTAAACCTCTTATTCATTCATTGTTAATGAATTAACATAACAAAACACACCTCAAACATAGCTGCTGAATCTTAATGCAATCGATCTATATAACCCCCCTCCCCCTCCGTCTTGCTCCGCCCCTCCCCCACAGCCTGGCAATGCCGCAACAACTTGAACAAGGCTAGGGCTACACACTCATTTAAATGCAATACATCTACAACAGATTTTCGCAATCAATATTATATGAGTATACGTGATTTATCATAATTCACTGTACCTTTATCTTACAGAAAATTACTAATATTTTATACCGATTCACTGAATTAAATAAAACGACACAACAAAACAACAGCTGCCTCTGGTCTTCAGATGTTCGTTCAGCTTCCTCTCGGATGTAGAGCGCCCTCTGTTGACATCAAAATCCAATAATATGAGGACTAGTATCCTTTCAATATATTCATATGTGCACGATTTAACTGCAAGGCCAAGGTACCAGACTAGATTTGTTTTTATTCTCGCACCAACCCGTAATTTCTCGTCATTTCACGCCTTATTCATGAAGCAATATGGCGTCCGTCCAGGTGGCATCCACGATTTTGCTGGCGATTTTATTCGCTTTTTTGGCCTCCTGTGAAGCATCGGGCAACCAATATAAAGACGGCGAAAAGGTAGAGAAATAACCTGGGTACTCAGAATTTAACTGTAGGATAGTGTTCGAATTTAGGGTAGATTTCGTATTGTTTATTGGGGTGTAAAAAGTCCGATGATGCGTTGGCAAGCTTGCAAACTTGGCAGCGCCCATTTCAACTTCGCCCCATGATTCCACTCCAGGCCCGCCTGCGCTACATCGCCGGTGTCACTTCGCCCCACGTCACTTTCCCTCAGAGCCTACCCCAATTTGAAAGAAACCTTACATAGGTCAGTTAAAGACGCAGTGCCTGCCCATCTCATAATTCATTATGGAATTGGAAGAAATTCATTGTTGTTTTGTTTGTTTGTTTCAACTTTGATTTTCTTTTTTTTTTTGGGGGGGGGGGCGTTTTTACCCTTTTTAACAATAGTGAGTGACGGAAATGGGTCAACTCGTACCCGAGTTAACTCGTACCCGAGTCAACTCGTACCCCAAAATTGACACCCAAGTCAAGTCGTACCCGAGTTAGGTCGTACCCGAGTCAAGTCGTACCCCAGTCAACTCGTACCCGAGTCAAGTCGTACCCGAGTTGACTCGTACCCGAGTCAACTCGTACCCGCAGCTCAAAATAGTTGCCTATTTTCGAAAAGAAAATCAGTGAAACGAACGGAAGATCGGAGGGATATGGCCGGTTGTCCGTGCACGGTGACATCGTTTGTGCCGGGCCTGTGCGCGCACTCATCGGCCAACGTGGTCGTACCGTGCACGGTGACATCGTTTTTGCCGGGCCCGTGCGCGCACTCGCCGGTCCACGTGGTCGTACCGTGCACGGTGACATCGTTTTTGCCGGGCCTGTGCGCGCACTCATCGGCCAACGTGGTCGTACCGTGCACGGTGACATCGTTTTTGCCAGGCCGATTAGCTCAGTTTTGTTTAAGATAATAAAACTTTCTCTTGCACTTGAAGTACAATTTGCTAATGTCAAACAATCTTTCACACCCAAGGATCAACTAACAAATTGGTCCCCTAAAACTTATAGAAAGAGCATCTCTGAATGAAACGAGCCACCATTTTCCTTTATCGTGTTTACTTCCTTGATGCCTCAAATGTAAACAAATAATTAAAAATCCTACATTTCTGTTACCAAAATAATATTCTAGTTGAACTTATCGCAGAAACTTTATTTAAGCTGCACAAGATTTTTTTTACATTTACCGAACTAATTGTACAAAAAATGACCAACATATTAAAGAATCATTATAAATTAAATAACGATGTCCGTGTGACTCTTTTAAGTTTCCTGTAATATATTTTCTCTTCAGATTTGTACTTTCAGGGCCCCCAATCTTCCCAAAGAGATTTGTGCCATGTGCAGTTTTTATTCAATAAATGATGCCAAAAATGGAGTGAGTGAACGTTGAAAAATATTACTTTTACATTACAAAATTCATTTTTTAATAGCAGCTTTCTTAAAAAAAAAAAGAGGTCTTAAATACTAAATTCGTTAAAAGAAAACTATGCCCTTAAAACACGTTCGACCGAACAAAAAAAAGACGTAGCAGTTCGCACTGTCACTCCGCAATCTCAGTGATCCAGGGTCTCTGAAAAAAGAAAGAGAAAACATCATTACTAAGAGAAAATACTACACAAATTTTAAAATAACACATCTGATGATCTGGATGAAAAGTGAAATTTACCGTTTATCAGCGAGGGCTCCGTCGACTCGCGAGTACCACACTGATGCCGTTTTGAAAATGTTCTCCGCGCGGTACCCGTCCGTTCGCGATGAAGCCCTTGCCGATGAACGGTACATTTTCCCTTTTCAATATTTGTATTTCTGGCGGCGTAACTACTATTTCTCAGTCGCCGTTTTTGAGGGTAAAATCGGAAGTTTTGTTAACCATCCATCCGTACTTCCAAACTAAAAAAGGAGGGGAGTACGAGTTGACCTGGGTGCGAGTTGACCCGGGTACGAGTTGACTCGGGTACGAGCTAACCTGGGTACGAGTTAACTCGGGTACGAGTTAACTTGGGTACGAGTTGACTCGGGTACGAGTTGACTAGAGTACGAGTTGACTCGGGTACGAGTTAACTCGGGTACGAGTTGACCCAAAATCAGAACGACAATGTTTTTTGTGCAAAAACTTGAAACAGGTGCCAGACTATTTTTCCTTCCAGCCTCACTTTGGTTACGTTGATTTGAATGGGGAAAAAATCAAGATGGCTGCAATGCGATAATGGTCTATTCAGAGCAATGAATCAGAAAGAAAAACATAAAGTTTCTTTCGCCAGCAGATGGGGGTTCAAAACATCAGAATGTGTTTCCATTCTAGTCTTAATAGGAATGGGGTCCTTAAAGTAACTAAATGCCATTGGTTTTGTTTAAATGTGTGTGATATTCTGTTGTCATTTTTTCATCCTAAATGAATTGAACCAATGCTACAGTTTTTCCTGATGTTCGGTTTGTTTGTAGGTGACAGTGTATGTAAATAAAGTCGGCCCGTATTTCAATCCTCATGAGACCTACCATTACTACCAGTTGCCTGTGTGTCGACCGGAAAAGGTAAAACATTTATATTTAAATCTTTGTATCAATTAACAACATCACAAAACTCAATCTTAACAAATGATGTTCAGATATTGAGGAGTTTCCGACATGTCAAAGCCCTGTTTAACATTGATGCTTAGTGATGACAATGCAATCATGCAAGTTTTCCTCGGATCCACAGATTTCCTCGTTTTTCACTTTTCATGAATGCCATTACAAATTGAAAAACACTGTACAAAGTCTTGTGTGGTTTGGAGTTTCCTCGTTTTTCCTAAAATTTTCCAAGTTGCACGCCTGACAATGATGCTATGTCATTGACCCAGAGACGTTTAGTATCAAAAACATGTTTTCAGATCATTCTGCTGCAATTATATTTTGACTTACACGTCCAAAATTACAATGTTTTGGTTGACTAAAGTTGATGAAATTAATGTTGTTCTTCTAATTTTTGTTCATTTCAGGTTGAAACACGGAGCTTGACACTAGGAGAAATTCTGGACGGAGACAGAATGGCGGTCTCTTTGTATGACGTCAAATTCAAAGGTAAGTAAAACACATGCTTGGGGAGCGTTAGCATTACAATTTGAAACTTGGTAAGTCCTTGGGTCTTGATATCCCCCAGGAGCCTTTTGAGTGTGGACTAAAGGGTCAAAGGTCAAGGTCATGATGATAAAAACAATACAAATGGTTTTCACTAAGCGGAATATTTAAAGAATTATTTGGGGTTTCAATTTCAAACTAAGTGTATGGGTTGGTCGGATGGGCCTTTTGTCAAATCGTGGCTTTGTTTTCAGCTTTAGCCATGTTAGCTCTTGATCCCAACTTCATGATCTGAAGTTCTTGAATGGCGGATGGGCCATTTGTCAATCCGCAGCTTTGTTCCAGCTTTGTCTCTGTGTCCCAACTTCATGATTTGAGGGTCAATGTTGCCGAACCAACTTTAAATTTGGTCATCTTTTCGAGGCTGTTATGTTTGTAATCATTTTATTTTTTGGAATTTTTTTTCCAGAGAATGAACTGAACAAAGAGCTGTGCATTGTGACGCTGAAAGACGCCGACCTCAAACAGATCAAGGAAGCTATTGAGGATCTCTATTACTTTGAGTTTGTCATGGGTAAGAGTTTTTGTCTTTGAGTTGTAAGTCGATTCCGAAATTTCACACAACACTATTTATCAGCAAAACTTTTCTTTTCTCTGTTTCCTTTAACTGTTCCTATTGCAGATAATATCCCGCTACGAGGTTTTGTCGGCCATTTTGAGGAGGGCGGCTTCATCCCGCACACTCACAAATTGTTCCTGTGGCATCATCATACCTTCTATATTGAATACAATAAGGACCAGGTGAGATTACAAGACTCACAGTTGATAAAAGCTACCTTTAAAAAATGTTTTTGTCAAACTGCCTCAAAGAGTCTGTTTTTAACAACACATCACAATTTACTAAAAGCAAATACAGTCAGTCTTCTTTGTACTAAGCTCGAAAGTTTTCCTGTATTTCAGATTGTGTACGCCAACATCACGACGCGGGACCGAATGCCGTTGAATCTTGACGACGTCGTTGCGCCGTTGGAGGTTCAGTTCACCTACTCCGTGGTTTGGCAGGAGACCAAGATGGCATACAACCAGCGTCACCTGAGACTGCTCAAGAGCAGCAGTTTCTTCCCCAGAACCCTAGAGGTAACATTAGCGACTTTACCATGTCTGAAATATAGAATAGGTGTAACGTCATAAGATTTGAGGCTTTGCATGGTGGGGTATCGGTATCGTTTCGGTTTTGCGGTAACACCATGTGGTAATAACTACTGCTTAGAAGATATTAGTTCTGAGAAGAACTTGTCCTGCTTATTATCAACTTGCTAAGTAGTTTTTTGTTCTGTTTAGAACAGTCCGTTGAAACGTTGAGACCAAAGACAAGTTCGTTTAGAACTTACAGCAGGACTGTTCTAAACAGAACAAAAAAACTACTTAGCAAGTTGATAATAAGCAGGACAAGTTCTTCTCAGAACTAATATCTTCTAAGCAGTAGTTATTACCACATGGTGTTACCGCAAAACCGAAACGATAGGTGTAACGTCTTTAAGCTTAACCCTAACTCCCTAAGCTCTTTTTATCTCCCTGGCTTTCAAGCCAGACATAGGGATATTGCGATCTTGTACTCCTTCTGTCTGTTGGTGTGTGCGTGTGAGTTTGTGTCTGCATTCAATAGAGGACATTGAACAATAGAGGACAATAGGGTCCCCAATTCCCAAGAGGTCCCCAATCTCCGATCGTGTACAAAACATATGGGAGGTCTTCCTAAAAAGTTGAAGTACAAACAGAAGAGGGACAAAAGGGGTCCCCGATTGCAGGCAAATACACACTGCGTGTTTATGGTGTAAATCGAGGACACACACGTGCAACACCATCGATGAATCGAGGACGGAGACCGAATCGAAGTAGGCGACCTTGCAGCTGACGCAAAACAAATTGGAGAAAAAGACCAGTTTTGACGAATGGGTCATGACGTGTTCATTTCAGTGCTAATGAGTCGCATGTTTTCTTGCAGGTGCATTGGCTGTCCATCATCAACTCCATGGTGCTCGTGTTCCTGCTGCTCGGATTCGTACTAATCATCCTGGTAAGCAACGCCATCATAAGTCGCACGTGCCCCGACTCTTACAAAATCAGTGTTTCCCTTTTGTAGTTTATTTGAAATTGTGTAAGAAAATGCCGCATCCTCTTTGAGCGAACTGTGATTTTCATTTTCGAGTTGCAGCATAATTAATGTTGCTAGCATCGTGACGTTACACGTGACCCCACAAGTCATAAAAATATTCAAATAAACTGTGGCAAACGCGTTTTTTTTTTCCTTCCATGTTCAGCCTCATTACTTGTGACTGGACCGGTGAGTTACTTTTGACCGGACTTGTGATGGACTTGATTAAAACGCTATGAATTGGTGACTGTTGGTGCTGGGAGGTTGCAGGTTCAAATCTCTCTCCAGTCGCTTTGATTCCTTTCTTTTCTTTCAATCATTGGACAGAATTCCTTATTTCACATTGCTTGTCCCTGTTTTGCAGATGCGCGTCTTGAAGAACGACTTTGCCCGTTACAATCTTGACGACGATGACACCGATGAGATGGATCAGGAGGAGAACGGATGGAAGATCATCCACACGGACGTCTTCAGGTTCCCTCCGCAGAGGAGCCTACTCTGCGCCATGCTCGGTGAGTAAAGTCTGTCCCGAGCCAATATGGCTCATCAGAACGGCGTTTATCTCCAGTTTCCTTGGCATGAAATGACTGTAGAACATTTCCATCCCTAGACTTAATGCCAGGCCATCGCAGTCTACTCCTCAACTTATTCTCCTAGTTGGAGAGAGGCAAGTTGGTGTAAAATGGCTTGCCCAAGGACACAAAATATAGCTAGCAGCTGGATTCAAACCCCTGACCCTCTGATCACAAGTTGCAAAGGCTTTCAAGCAGACCCAGGTGAAAAAGTAGGATCCAAAAAAAAAAAGTAAAAAAAAAGTAGGACTTCGGAGGACAAAATCAGGATTAAGTAGAACTTTTAAGGGCTTTCAAGAGTAAGTTTTTTTGGATGTTTAAATACTGACTTGACTCCGTTTTGTACATTGAATCGTCGTTTTTTGGTTTTTTCTACCAGGTGTGGGCTCCCAGTTCCTGACCCTAGCCACAGCAATCATCATCATGGCTCTACTGGGAATGTTTAACGTCCACAAGCATGGCTCCATGAACACGGCGGCCATCTTGTTGTATGCCCTGACTTCATGTGAGTATTGAGATCATTCCTTTTTCCTGGACACAGGGGCCAGCCTAGTGCTGCTTTGTACCTCTCCACCGACTGACTGACTGGCTGTCACTTGTGATTTAGACTGGTCGTAGACTGGTGAAGAGTGCCGGGCAGTGCTGTTGTATAGGATTACCCTGTAACACCAATGAATGGGCTAAATTTGGCACATTGTGTAGACCAGATACGTGAGAAGACTTCCAGTGATTTGACCTAACGCAGTAGAATCGCGTCAACGCAGCTTGTGAAATATTGTCCAATTACATGATATACAAATGGACGCGGAACCCGCAAAATCTAAGACAAACAAAACTGAGTGTACACAAATTCCATAGGGTTGTCTAAGGGGCGTGGCTAACTCGCAAACGGCGATAGGTCAAAAGCCCTGCTGAATTAATTGAATATTTAGACCTTAAACATTTCGCTTTGCTTGAAACTTTGTATGTCTCAACCGTTAGACTTTCCCAGTTGCTGTGCTTGAATGCTTGATTCTTTCCCTGTCCGTCACCAGGTGTGTCAGGGTATGTGTCCAGTACCTTCTACAAGAAGCTGGGTGGGGAGAACTGGGTCTGGAACATTGTCCTGACGTCATCCCTGTTCACGGGTAAGATGGAAAAATACTTCAGAAAAGCTGGCATTGGAGATGTAAATCACATATCTTTGTATTATCTGGATAGTGCGTGGGTCCTTTGCTGTACACAAAGAAGTGAAGCCGCTGCTTGCTCTTTTTGGGCTTTCCAATATGGCTGCTCTATGTGTATTTCAGATTGGAGCTGACTACATGATGACTGTGTTTAAGATTAGATGCACACTTCCTGAGCCCGATTGAAGCGATCATGGTTGCGATTTTTTTGTCTCCTAAACGACATCCGCATATGGGTGTACGCTATGGCGTTTTGGACTTTACTTTTCTAAAAACATAAATAGAAAATAAAAAATTTGAAAAAAAAAAATTGATTCGAACGTAATGAAATTTGGACTTTATTTCCATTAAAAAAAAAATTCCCGAAGCCTTAGGTTAAAAAAGAAACAATTTTCAGGTACAAAACGGTGTTTCGAACCTGCAACCTCGCGGTGCAAAATCAAGACCCTGTATCGACTGAGCTATCCCACTGCTCTCCAAAACGTGGGGAAAAAAATTATTATATAGCTGTGTACGTATCGCCTGGTTCTACCTCACAAAATGGCTATCGCAGAATCAGTTTATTTTCAGTTGTGCCTCATTCTCTATCAGAATATTTATTTTTGATTGTTGATCCCTTTCTTTTTTGCAGTGCCGTTCTTTCTGATCTGGAGCGTGGTGAACTCGGTCGCCTGGTACAACGATTCCACTCAAGCCCTGCCCTTCACCACCATTCTGCTGCTCCTGTGCATCTGGATATTGGGTGAGTGATCAGCGCCCAAGTAAGAACGGCCCAAGTTGGAATGACATACCTCAACGTTAAATTAAACTCTACAAACAGACTGTCTGATATTCAGTGAATGTTCATAGATACCACAGACAGATTGAGCAACATTGTATTGGAAATGATACTGAATTTTTCCAATCCAATGAAACGTCTTTTCTTGTTACGCATCCAGTTGGCTATCCACTGACAGTGACCGGAGGCATATTTGGCAAGAACATGTCGGACTCCTTCGACGCTCCTTGCAGGACCAAGAACATCGCCCGAGAGATCCCGTCCGTTCCCTGGTTCCGTTCAGGACTCATGCACTGCCTTGTTGGTGGCTTTCTCCCCTTCAGGTAAATTTTTCGGCTCTGTCTTCCCATCCAAATAAACTGGGTTCATGCTGACGTTTCAGGGTTCTGTTACGTAATCTGCGTTGTTCAAAAGTAGGGCTTGAGTTTTGAATAATTTTGATTCTGATTGTGTTATGATGACGTCATTTATATAGACCTTTGGCGAGTGTTGTTAGCTACATTTTGATACCCTGTTTGCTAACAAAGACTATAACTCGTCCGAGATTGACAACGGTTTGTGAAAAATGATGCTGTTTGAAAAGTTGCAAATTTAAAGATTACTCGAAGAGAAATAGCTAAGTGTAACCACAGTGCCCGAACAAAGCGTTTCGCGTGCTTCCATGCATACAAGCAGCATGCGATCGATATTCCCTGCCATTTGTTTCGGGCAGTGTAACATTGTCATGCTGCAATTTCCACGCGCGTACTCTTCAAATTTGTAATATTTCAAACTGCATCATTTTTCATAAACCGTTGTCAACGTTGGACGATTTACAGTCTTAGGTAGCAAACATGGTATCAAAATGTAGTTAATGAAATTCCCCAGCGGTCTATATAAATGACGTCATCATAAGACGATCAGATTGAACCTAGTCAGTTTTGCATTGTAATTTTTGATTCCTTTTTTTGGCATCAAATAGTGCTATCTCTGTGGAGCTGTACTACATCTTTGCCACGGTCTGGGGCCGGGAGATGTACACCTTGTACGGCATTCTCTTCGTGGTCTACGGCATCCTACTGAGCGTGACTGCGTGCATCTCAGTCGCGCTGACCTACTTTCAGCTGTCCAATGAGGATTACCGCTGGTGGTGGCGCTCCATCTTCAGCGCTGGGTAAGTCTGGTTCCCTATTTCCTTTGCATGTTATGCTGCTTATCCTTGAACAGTCAGGCCTCTTGTCGTACATAATTATGAGCAAATGCTTGACATTTTTTTTTATAGACTTATCTGACGACCTCAAAATTTCAAATCTCAACTTTCAACATCTTGCTTATAATATAGTTCGTGTTTGTCTTTCTTAAAAGTGTCAGGAGATTTGTGCAAATTTAAAACTTAAGCAATTGTAGACAAGATGCCAAACTGTTCAAGCCGGCTTTATTAACAACCAAGGGTGAAATTTCATGGAGTATAAACAAATATTCCAACATTTTTTTTTTGCTAATTTTTTTTGGTGCTGATTGAATGGGGTATTCAATTATTTGCGAATTTCAGCCTGAACTATTTCCATTGCACTACGAAAGCTATTCCAAAAAATGGCAATAAAAAGTGATTAAAACTTACCTTAGTTATTGTCAAAATATTTACGGTGTTTTTTTTAGCCTAAGTTGAATTGGGTCACCAGCCAAAACGCCATGTGCTGCATATTCTGCCTGGTACCTCGCCATTTTTGGCTTAGCAAGTTTTGTTGTCGAGAAAATAAATTTGGCTAACAAGCTCCCTGAAATTTTGCCCTGCTGCTCAAATTTATTTTTTGAAGCACTCTTGTGTAGTTTAGGGAAAGTCTCAAAAGTCAGAACGCTTGGAACGTTCCACGTTTGAGATGTTCCCTTAATGCCCATATTTCGCACAATTTTGATCATTTCATTTGTTGAACTAACCTGTCACCCATCCCATCCATCTTTTGATTTTTGTCCGTAGATCCACGGGTATTTTTGTCTTTATCTACGCGATTTTCTACTTCGTCAAGCGCTCCAGCATGACGGGCATTCTGCAGACCGTGGAGTTTTTCGGCTTCACGTTTCTCGCGTGCTACGTCTTCTTCCTCATGCTGGGCACTGTCTCGTTTTTCGCGTCGCTGAAATTCATCCGGTATATATACAGGAACTTGAAGATGGATTAGGGTCGGGCAAGCTGCCTTGGAATTCCTTTTCTCTGTTAGTCTATTTTTGTTTTTGGTGGAATTATATATTACATGTATGAGCCTTTAATTACAGAGCATGAACTTGGGTGTTTCACAGAATTTCTCATTTATTCAGCATTGTGTAAAAATCGTACGAGACTAAATGGGAAAGCTTCTTCTCTTGCGTCGCGAAAGAAAGTCCAGAAAGTCAAACTCAAAATCATGTGGGTGATTCTGTAGACTGCAGTTGTTGAGTCCAGCCTGGGTTGTGTGCGTGTGTCCCTGGGCAAGGCACTTTACACTAATGCTTCTCCCTTCCCAGGAGTAAAATAGGTACTCGCGAGGGCAGGGATTGTCGTTGTGTTTATAGTCTTTTAGTTTTTATGCCTGAGAGTGCTTTGTGCTTACAGCTCACGACAGCTGTGATTAATGTTGAATATTCGGATACCAGTATATTCAGCACAATCCTACCTACCGATAGCAGCAAAAAAAAACCTATTTAAAGACAAGCTCCACTTTCTGATCTTACAAAATCTTTTCCAAATCTCTTTGTCAATTGAAAGAATCTGTGGTCCGTTGGGGTCGGTGATAGAGGTTTTTGAAATTATAATTACTTAAAATGCATTTCAAGAGGGTTTCATTTTTTGTGCAGTCAAAATTTTCATTGAAATTTTTTTTTAGACTAAGTGTGAAGTTGCACTACTATTTTTTTAATCATCAGTTCCTGTTTTGTCATTGTTTCACGGTTTATAGTTTTGTTTGTTCTGTGAGGAATTGTTGACATTAACATCTATACAATAATGCCTGCTTTTTGTTTGTTTTGTGTTTTGGGACTTTTTTTGGGGGGGGGGTGGTTAAATTGCATTCAAATTATTCGTAATGTTGACGTCAATATGTAATACTTCTCTAAGAACAACGTTGGTGATAAATTTTGATTGAACTCTTTTCAAACTCTCTGTGTGTTTGGTCAGTTTCAGAGGTTTTCCTGTCTCGATAGTTTAAATTTCAACCAAATTTTTTGCGATTATCGTAAACGAATATGCCTCCATCGCTAAGTACTTCTGCAGTTTTCTGCAGTGTTGCGTAGTGTGTATTAATGAAAATATAAACGGCCACAAAAAAATCTTTGTACTCATTTTAATAAAAACAAAAATTACTCTGACTTTACTCTGTATAACAGCAAAATGTACAACTATGTGAAAATAAAAAATAAGAACTTGGAGGAAATCACACACAACTGTAAATATCTATACATTAAAAGTGTGCATCGTTTGGTTATAAACTTAATATAAATGCAATTTACATCAATTTAATGTCATGATCAAGTTTGAGAAAATGGGCCGAACGCTGGAAAAATTATGGCCAGATTAAACTTTGAGGAAGAAATTGTCGCGTCAGTGCAACAAGGTCGTAAATTGCGTATCGCGACATCCATTGACTTTGTGTGTACATCTGGGTTACTTTAAGCGAGACCTTTCGATATTGAAAACTTGAATTTGACGTCACACGCCATTTTAGGACATACAACCTTGCTGCACGGACATGACGAAATCTGAAATTTCTGGCCGTAGAAATTGATATTTGTTTATTTTTAGGTGTTTTTTTTTGCTCAATAGCAAAAATATTATTATTTTTGTCACTTTACCCATATTTTCTTGATTTTACTTCATTGACTGTGTAGATATGTATGTAGTATGCGTTCATTATTTTGATAAGGTTCCACGTAGCTGGAATATTTATTTTGAAGTACGATTACTGGTGAGAGGGCAGAATAAAATCTTGAACGAAAAAAATCCATAAGTAGCCTGGCCGTATGACAAGTTATGAGTCAATGGTCAATGGTGAATACCTTCAGCAGTTTTGTGGAAGGCTTGTGGTGGGATATGTGTGGACGTCAAGCTATGTCGGCAGCAGAATTAAAGGGAATATACAACAGTTGCTTTTGCTGTAATTATCAGAAATTGTTGGAATGGGGGGGTAGTATTTTATAGCAAATATTGTTACACTGACTTGTTTGAAGTTTTGGGTTTGTAGATGCTGGAAACACCAAGAAAAACAAGCATGTGAAAAACAAGTCTGGTTCCCTTACCCAACTTAAGATGAAACCGAGCAATTTAAAGACGTCAGGGAATTGTATTGTCAGGGAATCAGCCTAGCTGGCTTGTACCAGTTCACAGGTGTGTAATCGATTGCAAAGAAAATGCAAACTAACTAAATCTGATATATTGGGAGTAGTATTCGAAAAAGGCCAGTTTTTTTCAAACACCACTTTTCTTGAAAATGTCAGCACACCAGGTGCCATAATTTTAGAGGATGCTTTAGACTGTCATTCACTAACAGTCCAGTAAGCTTTTTCGTGATAATTTGGTAGTTTTGTTGTTTGATGTTTGCAAATGTTGTATATTCCGTTTAAATACTCTGAGTTTGGCGGATATTGAAATTGCTCTTCAAAGAAATGTATGTATTGTATTTGTAATGCGTTTCTCAGCTGTAATTTAATCTCGCGAAGCCTTGTATTATAAAGATTAATATTCTACTGCATGTGATAAAACTCAACAGAGTCTTTGTAGTTGAAAATAAAACCGAACGGAATTTCATTCCTAAACTGTCTGTTTTTCTTTTTGAGATTATTGATGATACTACCAAAAAAACAAGCCCCTTGGTTACCATAGCTACCAAAAGTCTACATTTGTGCCAGATTTTATGTTGTTTTATATTTTTTGCTTATAAGACAATTTGAACGTTCAAAGTTCAACCATTTAAACAATAACATGACAGCCTTAAGGCCTATACATGTGCGATTTTGTCGCAACGACTTTGTCGCACAGCAATGTCGTAGATGCTGTTGTGTGAGCGAATACGCGATATGTCGCACGATCTTTTACGAATAATCTCTTTTCAGGTGCAGGGTCTATGTGAAATACGTATGCTGCATTTTGTGTTGCGCGACAAAATCACTTCAAATTTGATTTAAAAAGTCGCGCGATAAGCTGCACGACTTTGTCGCGTAAAATGTAAACAGACTCATTTTGTTTGTATGTATTTATAAAAATTTGTCGCACGCAAAAGTCGCACAAGTGTCAATTGGCCTTTAGTATGTGGCAGTAAACCATAAAATTGTTGAGTGCTCGAGCAGTACAGAGAGTATTTTTTTTTAAAGGCTGTGATAAACGATTCCATGAATGTTTATAACTCTTATTGTCGTCAGTTCGTTTTGAAGTGGAGCAGGGTTAGACGGGTGTTGAAAGCCAGCAGATATTCTGTCAAGTCACTTGGTCAGCTTTTGGTTCGAATGTAATCAACACACAATAACTTATCCTCTTATGTCAATACTACTCCCTATATCCTTTCGTGTCGGGTTACCGACACGTTTTCTGGCACAAAGCTCATGTTCCAGTTCTAGTTTGTTTTCTACTTCTTCTTTTTTTTCTTTTTTTGTTGTTGTTGAAAAGACTAGTTGGTTTTGCCGTTTTCATATCCGACCGAAAAATAATACCCTCACTTCAGTCATGTGTTGTGGTTACCAGTTTCTCCCAATCAAACGAGGCAGCCTGGTTACCGGGTTATTTTCGACTATTTTTTATTAAAAATGAGGACAGTTGGATCTTATCAAGGCTCTTGGTGGCCGTTTTTTGTCCGTATTTGATTTCTGGCAGAAGAATTTTGCGCCCACTCAATCATATCTGTTGCTGGCGAAATTGCCAGACATGTAGCCCGAGGGCGGTGTGAAACCAAAATATGATATTTTGTCGTGGGGTGGGGGGTGGGGTGTTGATATTGAAGTGGGCGGGGCTTAGCTGCTTGAATGTGGGGCCGGTTGAGGAGTCCAAAGGGATTTCTAAATCTTTCCTTGTCTCCATCCTTGATTTCGTCCCAGGCTCAAAAAGAATTATGGTAGCTTTAATGCCGAAACCAGATGGAAATAGTTCAAAATTTGGCCTCATTTCGTAGGCTTGAATGTTCCTGAAAGAGTACACAGACCCAGATTGACCTGGATTCCTAAAGAATACAAATATCCTGAATATGGAGAAAATGTAGGGGTACGGAATCCCAGAGGGGCCACAAGCCATAACAAATTTACAAATTGGTGTCGCGCTGCGGCAAGTACCGTAACAAGTTACTCCTCACAAGATTTGAACTCGCGGCAGTAAGAATGACTGCGGCGCAAGATAGCGACTGCAGCGCAAGATAGTAAGTTGCTGCAGCGAGACAATAACTCGCTGCAGCAAAATTGTAAGTTGTCGTGGCGAGATACGAATTTGGAAATTATTTTATTGCTTGTTGCATTTCTATGCTTCCATACAAAGGGTGGAAAACCCCTGAGTAATTAGCATAAAACAAGAAAGGGTCTAAACACCCTTAGAAATGGAACAAATAAATGCATTTCAAAGATTTTGTTTAAAAAATGCATCAGGAACTTTTTTTGGGGGGGGGGGGAGGGGGGAGGGCATGCATTCAGCAACATCCAACAGTTTTACCAAAAGAATAATTTGCCCTTTTGGTAGAATCTGTTTGGTGAAGATTCGGGCAGGATTGCATTTTAGGCATTATACTGAGTATTAAATCAAGTTTTCTTAATCCTGTTTTTTTTTTGCTGGGCTTTGTAATTGATAGGGTTTTGCTTTATTAAGCGAAAAGCTTCAGGAATTTTCTCTTTTATCGCAGGAATATTAGAGTGAACTTTCCTCTTTAGAAGTAATTGTACTAATTGTGTTTAGTAGTTGTGTGGAGGGACAAATATAGACTCTGAAAGAAATATCTTTGATACCTCATGATATAATGTTTCGACCACCTTTTCATTTTTTCGACAAACGCTCCGAAAGTTGGTAGTTTGTTTTCCAACCGTCAAGCGCAACTCTTTAATTCATGACCACAAACCATGACATGTTTATTCGTCGTGAATGTTGCTTTCCCAGTTCCTGGTTTTTTCAAAAGGGGACCCCATGCGGTGGGGGTCGCATTACAAACAACCGCACTTTGTTAAGATTACTGTCTAGTCTGTGAAGTAAACACGAACGATGACGTGCACCTGAGCACTTTGAAAAAAAAAAATGAAGGAAAAAGAAAAAAAAATCTGGATTTGTTTCTCTCAACTTGTCAACAGCAGTAAGTCATTCGCTGTAACCGATGATGGTGTTGTCATGGCAACCATAAGAATGTTTTCGTCAACACGACACCCATGGAAATGTCTACAGTGTCTCCACTCCCCCCCCCCCCCACCTTCAACTTTCATCCATCTTTTGCAAATATCTCGGTGTCTCTTCAAAAAAGAAACAAAAGAACACACAACAAATCTCTAAACTGTTAAACTAATATTTCAAGCCCCTGTGTACGCGTATTTTGTTTCTCCTTTTACATGTACTAACAGTGTTAAAAAAAGAAAGTTTGTTTCATCTAATGGTTGTTTTACAAATGGAATCAACATTTGAATTTCAGCCGTAAAGCAAGAAAGGGTGTCCCCATTGTTTGCAGGCTTGATGCGGCTTCCTTTTTTGGGCCTGCGGGTTTTTGCCCATCCCAAAACAAATATTGACCTCAAACAGTGAAAACACTTGCAAGGTGTCCTGCTAAATGCTGTGAAAATAATCGGGGCTGTTCCGGAATTTTCTTGGGGACCCTTAAGTGGAGGCTTTTAATTACGGAATCTGTCCGGTGGCTGGCTTGTGTTTGCTGGAGGAATTAGCTCAGTTGCATGTGTTTGCTGCATTCTTGGGCCAAATATTGTCACTTGGACTCAAGACCTATGCTACTACTGTGTTACTTATTGTTTAAGAAAATACTTATTTTTATGACATGGGTTTGAGTGGCATGGTCTTATTTTTCAGATGAAGACATGGTTGTTGTGTCGGCTTCTCATGGTCAATCAGTGGTGCTGTTTGTTAGTCAGTTGTTCTATCTTGGGTTTGTTGGTTGGTCAACCAGCTGGTAGGTTGGCAGGATGTTTGCATGGTTGCTTGGTTGGTCGTATGTTGCTTAAGGGCGGTCTGTCCGTTGGTCATTCCGTCATTGGGTCAATCTGGGCGGGATGTCACTCCATCGCAGGTTACTCCCCAGCTAATGCCGGTACCCATTTATACTCCTTGGTGGAGAGAGGCAAGTGTGAATGAGGTAGCTTGCCCAAGGACACAATATATGACCAGCAGCTGGATTCGAACCCCTGACCATCTGATCATGAGTCACAAACCCTAACCACTAGGCCGCACTCTCCATGTGTTATACATGTAGGTGCAAAAGCCGAAATAAAAGCATACTTTTGTCTTACATTAATTTGGGAATGCCACAAATTCACCCTTCAATTGTTTATTGCAGTTTACTCCTAAGAACCATACTTTGCCAAACATGATACATCCTGGTTTTTTGTTCTCTTCTTACTCTAAGCTATTCTATATTTTCTGAAAGCTATCGTAAGAGTCCTGTTTTTCCCCATCATACAAAAGCAGGGAAAGTCAATACCAACAACTTTGAATAGCATAAAGGTGTCATTCTCGCCTTCAAGCTTGCTGTTTCATTCAACTTGAATTAATTCCTTTGACTTGGTCTAGACATGCGGCAGCGACACACAGACAATACACTCTTGTCACTTTGAATTTTAAACGATACGAACACCAGTAGGGAGTGACAGAGCAAAAAGAAATTGCAGTGGCAGAAATGGAATAAGAATAATACCCTTCAGTTGTGTATTGGTGCCTATTTTTTCTTTGCTAGTCGGTCAATTTTAGGTCACAATACAGTCGGAAGTTCTGAGATTAGCCCTCCAAACAACAGGAATTTTCTGTGTAAAAGAACTGAGAAAAAAATCTATTTACCGATCAGATCACTTGAAAAAAAAAACCAATTTTTTTTTTTTTTTAGTTCAAATAATCGGAGAAATAGTTGACCTACTTTTTGAAAATGAGTCCAAATGATGATGATTTATGATTTTTATTTTGGCCATGATTAAGGCTTAAGCTGAAATTCAAACGAATTTATAAAATTTGAATCAATATTGGGTTTTGAGCTTCACTGACATATAAACACTGTATGCTTAGTGTGTTACCTCCCGAGTGAAAGTTGGGGAATAAAGGGCAAAACTAATGATTTACATCCCCCAACACAAATTCCATCTCATAAAAAGTTTAATTGCGGTACCGTGCAAAATATTAATGTTTTTCAAATGAACATGTCGCTTTTTGGCAATATAAGCCTCATATTTGGTTCAAATTGATCAGTGTCCTCTGAATTTAACATGTTTTTATTAGGTTCCTCGTTTCCCTTTTCATTTGTGACAGCCTGTGCCAAAAATCAGGCACTTCTGGTAACTTTACTGTGTTTCCCTAAACTATTTTGGCTAACAGAGGGCGGCCTTCACTGTCCCTGTCAGCTACATGAGGTTGCAGATCAGTGGAAAGTTGCCAAACACAATTATGATTAATATCGTACTGAAATATTGGGTAATTTTTGTTGTACCGGTAGGTGTTGAGATGTCATCAAATTTTATTGATTTTTTTTTCCTTTGCTGGTTTTTTAAAATTCATGGGGGGGGGGTTGGGTTCAAGGCTTTTTGGTACTGATGCCCCAGAGTGACTTTTCAGTTCATTTTTTCTTCCTTCAAAATTTCTCAGAAAT